CTCTCACACTACTCCTCCAGGATCCCTCCCTTCCCCACACTTAGGATGCAGCTTCTGTCTTCCCAGCTTCTCCCCTGTATTTCACACACCAAATCTGCAGCCTTCTCAGCCAAAGGCTGAGACCCATGCGTGGTCCTCTCCTCCTTCTTCACTCAAGAGGCTCCAATTTCTCAATCCCTCCCCCACCAGGTGCCAGCCTGCCTCTCCTGGAGCGGGTGTGGCTGGATGGGGGGAGACATGTGCAGATGGTGTTGGGCTGTGCGCAGATGGGGTGGGTGGTGACCCTGAGCTGGGACTGCCCCCTGCAGGCTGCCCTGGGCTCTCATGATGCACTGGCTCCATGCTCCCCCTGCAGGCTCCTCTCTCCTCCTGGGCAGCCCCATTTCCCATGCATGGCTTGGCTCCAGGCGGCAGCGTGGAGGAGGAGGGGCTGTGGCTGCCCGGCTATTCCTTTTTAACTTTCTGAGCTATCTCAGATTAGCCATAAATCAGGTTCCTTTTCTGGTATTCTTATTTCAAGAGATCTCTATTAATTGATCTACAAGAAGGTTCACATTAGTCTATGTATTATAGCTCAAATTGGCCAAATATATTTGAGTGCATTCTGATTTTATAAGACAGTTGAAAGTCTATATATATGATGTCTATTTGTTCAGTCCATTTATAATGTACAGATCATCTGTCCATGTTTGTCCATTTGCCTGCTCTGTAAACAGCTGTTCCTTTTTTATTTGAGCTCACCAATCTTTTTTCATTTTTAAACCATTTAATCAAGGTTTATTCCAGTTATAGATTTAAAAAAAACATGCTTCTATCTAATTTGCCAGCTGGTCAAAATGATGCTAAAATTGGTTAAACAAAATCCTTTGGAGTGAGGGGACATTGGACAGGATTTCAACTGATAAACAGGAAAAGTGGCCAGCTGGTAATTTTACCAGCTCTTGTTTAGTAATTGGAGCCTCCAATAATCTCCATAGCCTTATGGGAGGCACCTCAACTAAAGTTCATATAACTAAGACAATTCATTGTTGCTGTTCTGATGGCATATTCATGCCTTCAAATATAAAATTGGGATTGTTTCTGCTGCCTTTTTTTTTGTGTGTGTGTGTTCCAGCCAGGAGATTCAGATCAGACCAACATGAGGTCACCAGTCAAATAATAATTTTTAAACAAAAGTTTATGCAATGTATAAAGGAAAGTGTTTTCTTTCAGATCTGGACATATGCTTGGAGATGATTCACACATTTCTTCAGCACTCAAATGTTAAAGTACCCATGGTTAATAGCCATTTAATGTTCTATGTTAAGCTTTCTGCCTATACTGCAACAATTGAAATTAAGACATAATTATAAATTCCTTTTGTTGGGATCCACTAGATCTTTTCCAAAAAAAAAAAAAAGGTTATATGATACATGCAAAACAATGAGACCAGCACTGGGGCAGGGGCCAGGTTTGAGCCTTTCCCAGCCCATCTGCCAGCCCTGGCTCAGCCCTCCACCAAGCCATAATTAACTGTACTCAACTGGAATTAAATGACACCATAGCTGATCTCTCTCCTAAATAAAAAGGTAAAATTAATAAACAAGCTATCCTCCAAAAATCAAGTGGCATTAGACATTCTAACAGCACAAGAGGTACTTATATATGACAAATGAATGACATGTCAGTTTCTAAACTTCCCTGGACCTTATCCTCTTTATGGGAAGCCATTACTAAAGTTATGATCATAAACACCCTGTTGATTGTATTATTTGACTCCTGCATACTTAATTGATTCTTTGCCTTTGTCTTCTTTAGACTTAAAGATATACACCTACCCAAGATAAAAACCAGATACCTTGTGACTGTGAAAGAGACAGATACCTTCCAGTGCGGGTCAGATCCCAAGACAAAATGGTAAATGTGGCCCTTGAGGGGTTTGAACCCCACAGGGAGACCTTCTTAATATGGCTTTTCGTATTTTCAACAACAGCAATAAAAAATAACAATCTGATCTTTTAGCAGTGACACTTGGAGATCTGAGACAGGTAAACTGACACAAGGTGGAGCTGCTTGAGCCCCTCCTGAACCATGCTTCAAGTGCAGCAAAGAAGGACATTGGGTAAGAGAATACCCCAATCCTGGCATTACTTTGGGACATTGACTCAGGGCCACTGGACTATCCTAGCCACCAGAAAGTGGGTAAAGCCAACTCCTTGCCCTCACAGGAAACACCATCACCACCAGATTCACCACTGACAGATCTGCTTGGACTTGCTGCTTAAGATTGACAGGTCTTAGGGCCCACAGCCCCATTAAGGTGTCCTTCTCAGAGCCCCAAGTCCCACCAGAGGTCTCAGGTAAGACATTCTCTATACTTGTGGACATAGAGGCCATGTATAGTGTTCTTCCTGAGTTTTCAGGCCACTATCTTAAGTCCTCAGTCTCTATTAGTGGGTATTTATGGCCAACCTATGCAGCCTTTGCAGACAGGGCCTATTTCGTGCAGGTTCCAGACTTGGTGCTTCTCTGGTCAATACCATAGTTTGAGATACCTCCAATCCTACCCACACTGCACATGCCATGCCTATTTTATTTCATCTCAGGGTTCCTTCAATTTTTCCTTGTATTCCCCAAGATCCCACATATCCCAAACACTTGCAGGGACTTAAACCTATAATTAAGCACCTTTTAGATAATGGTTTTCTTAAACCTACCCATTCACCCTATAATACTCCCATTCTCCAGGTATTCAAGCCTGATGGCTTTTACCCTTTATTACAAGACTTTAGGTAATCAATAGTGCTATTATCCCAATACACCCAGTGGTGCAAACCCTTATACCATGCTCTCTCTTGTCCCTTTCTCCACCACTCACCTTACAGTCACAGATCTTAAAAATGCTTTTTTATTCCTTTGTGTTTATGCAGACTGACCCAGACACTCTGAGGTCTCAACAGCTTACACCTGTTACCTCTAGTAAAACCTCTCCTCAGGGACACATAGCACCCCCTTCCTTTCCTATTCATCAGTTTCACAACCCTGGTCAGGATTGGCAGGTAGATTTTTCACAAATTTCCCACCACAAAACTCCGAAATATCTTCTCACCTTTGCTTGCACTTTTTTAGGATAGATAAAACCCTTTCCCACAGCCAGGGAGACTGCTGATATACTTACTAAAGTCCTGTTACAGCAAATCATCCCAAGGACTACAACCAAGGTGGAGCGGCCCATACCTGGTCTTCTTGGCAACCCCAACAGTTAAAGTTGCTAGACTGCCATCCTGGTTCCACATCACTCAGGCTAAACGGTGTCCTCCCAGCCCTAAATTTAACCATCCTGAGTGGTCATCTCATCTTCTGTCGCCCACCCTTCTCCGTCTCACCAAGGCCTCACAGCCACAATTCTCAGACTAAGTCATGGTTTGTTATCCAATTTGGTTTCTAATTTCTTACATTTGATTAATTATCCTTTTTATAGCAGGAGTCTTAACAGTCTTTCCTACATGACAACTGTCTTAGTTCTCGGTACCCTCAGCTGTTTGGTCAAACGTGAGATCTCTGAAGGCCTAGGCTCTTACCTTCCTTATAGTGACAAAGCCAAGGCCATCCCCATCCTGCTTATTCTTTCCAGCTCAACTCCTAGACCAGAGATAAGTCTTACCTGCCTACATTCTTAACTGTTACCCTTTCAGATGATTCACACAGGGAATAATGACCTCTCATAACTTCACTCCTCCTAACCCCACACTTATTTTTCAGAATTCTACCTCACTGTGTCAATGATTTTACTTCACCGTGGTAATGATTCTACATATCTAAATCAAAGGCACCTTTCCTTCTACCTCACCTGGGTTCTTAAGTACAATAGTACCCTACCTCTTCATAACACCTTGTCTCTTTGTTTTTGCAGTCTAACGTGTGGGCATTGTTCACCAATGATAAAGTTGTCCTGGCTAAAAAACCTGGCACCAGCTTCTGCATGGGCATCAACCATCTTCCCGTTGACCCTCCTAAACCCCAATACAGCACCCCCTTTCAGCAGAAAGTAGTAAGAGAGAAAAATTTCACCCTTTTCCTAACAATAAGAAGACAGGAATGAAGGAGCTGGCCCTAGATAGGACACTACAGCAGTGAAAGGTGGGACCAAGGGGCGTTTACCTTGAGGGCATTTTCCTCCGGCCCTAGGCAATTTACCTGTGGTGCAAAATGAATTCCAGTGGGCTGCCTGGGCATCAGCAATGCTCCTTTAGGCACAACCCCAGACCAAAGCTATATATATGCCCCCCATACCACATGTCCGGCAGAGAAAGCCAGACCCCAGTGGTCATGGAGTTTCTCTCTCCATCCTTAAAATAAAGGCCACTTTACTTTATATTCTGTTTTCTCATCACACCAAAAATCCTATCAAAAATAAAAAGGGTCAGGGTGTGGCTCAGTGGTAGAGTGTCCCTGGACTCAAGCCCAGGAGAGGACAGGAAGATGCCATGCATCTTACTGCAAACAACTTACCACTATAACATGAACCTGAAACTCCTAGCTTCTAGTCTATTTCTTTTTAAATTTAGCTGTATTCTTACAGATCTCCCTATGAAGATTGCATCCAGCCCAGCTTAACCAGAACTGACGGGAAAGTAACCGAGTGTCCAACCCAGCTGATGGAGCCTTTGGCCAGTTTCCGGGTTCTTGGAAGAGGGAGGGAGAGCTGGGCAGGAAGGCACTGTGGTGATGAAAGCTGCCTGTTCCCTGCCTCTGTAATGACTGTGCCCAGTGCCACCTAGGATGTGTCCCTCATCCATTGAAGTGTGATAACATCAGTTCCTTTTTCACTTCTGTGATTGATACAACAGCCCATTTCCCAGCCTCAGATGGAGGAGGAGGAGGAAGAGGGAGGGGGGAGAGGAGGGGAGGGGAGGGAAAAGGAAAAGGGAGGGGGAGGAGAAGGCCAAGGGGGGAGGAGGAGGACTGCCACCCCAAACCTCAGGCCTCAGGCGGGCACCACACCCCAAGCAGCATGGTACCTTTGAGCGGGAAATATTCGCTTCCAGCAGGCTGTGGATGGTTCCACCAGAGACGTGGACGGAAGCCCGGAGCTCCTCAGTTAACTTGGTGACATTTGTCATCAACTCTTTTACTTTCACTGCTGAAATTCACAAAGGACCTAAGGTTTAGGATCAGCACTCAGACTGTTAACAACTGGAAAACCAAAATTTGCCAGCACCATCTGAGAGCTTCCTTGGTGGAGTCCAGCGTGGAGTGGACGCCAAGTCAGGCAGGTCTCAGTCCCCAGGAGTTGCTGAGGTTATTTTATAAAAAATCGAAGCTCCTGTTAAGTGGCATTATCTGGGGACCTGTGTACTTGTGCTAAAATCTGCATGAAATATACTTTGGGGAAAGCTTTTTCCCAGAGCACAGTGACCACATGAGATGAGAAACCCACGTTTCCATGTGTCCAGGGCTGAATAAAACTGTGAGGGGTACATGGGTAAAACTTATTACTATGAATGATTCACTGTTCTCTGCACCTGCATAGCCTGTCCCTCACTCAGCACTGTGTGCTCTCTTTCTTGCCGTTGTCTGAAGCTCTCCTGGAATCCTCTTCCAGAGGTAGTGTGATCAAAAATATGGTGACTGCAGCTGCCAACTGCCATCCAGTGGAGAGGCAGACTCATAAACACTCGACACTGTGTCTTCCTACACCTAGTCATCGGGTCTGGCACCGTGCAACTCACAGCTCTTCCCCAAAGCCAAAAGGACCATGAAAGGTCTGCATTTTCAAATCCATTGGTGGGGAGGGAGCAGCCCTCCCAGTGGAACTAGAGACTGTCAGGGCTGAGGGCTCTGGAACTGCCTTACAGGAGCAGGAATGCGGGTGAGGGATTGGAAGCAAGGAGCAGCATCCTGAGAGCAATCCTCAGTGATGGTCTTTAGTATAATACATGTTTATTAAAAAAATACCGCATTTCCCTGTCATACCCAGTATTTCCTGAGCTCAGTTCTTACCAAGAAGAATGTTATTCAAGAAATTGCCACAGTTCTTCAGACAGGGTGCATTGACACTGCCACCAAGGTACAAACTGTGAAGATGGAGCAGACCCAGAACGGGGACCAGTGGGCATCAAGTGGTCAAGGAGATGGGGCCCTGGCAGAAGCTCTCCCTCCTGGGCCTCATCTTCTGATACCCAGAACCCAGGACTTAAGTTGTAATCCCCTGACACAGGAACTAGCCAACCTCACAGGGCGTCGTTTCCCTTCTTACATTTCATTTTAATAACATGCTAGTGAGATGCTGGGTTTCATTTATAACCAAGCACAATCAGAAGAGGCATGTACTCACCCTCAGTGACCGTGAACTTGCTAAGAAAAGTCATGATGGGGTTCTTTGATATCCAGGTCTCCCCAAGACTTTCGGCCAGCCTAAAACAGCAGAAAATCAAAACTAAATTAGGTAGACTGAGGCCAGGTCAAAGCAAATAATACTGCCTCTCTCCCAGGAGATGAGCCGGAGAACCAGGCCCCACTCCTGTAAAATCCCACAGGTGACAATGAGGTCTTCACAGGGACCCCACTCACACCGGCACTGTGTGCCCATCTTGCACCCCAGCCAAGCAATGTGTCAGGGACCAAGTCCTCTGTGCACCCGGAGCCCTGGTCTCTCAGGGTGCCTTGGACCCTAGAACCGTGTGGAGAAATCCCTCACATGCATCTGGAGATGTCTCAGTGTTCATACAGCCATGGTAAGACATCATTCAACATCTCTAACACAGTGGGACACACTGTCACGGTGACAGCTTGGGCTAGTGTCTAAGATCAATAAGGTGGGCTGCGCCCTAGTGCTGCCCATATAGACGTACATTTAAACACTTGCTGATGCATAAACGTCCTGTTGTCTGCTAAAGGAAGAAACTGACAGTGGAAATAAAATCTGAAAGGTGCAATAGATTCTCTGAAAGGGAAAGAACCTGCTTGAAAGGAAAGAACTGGGATGTGGGAATGGAGAAAGAAGGAAGGGGAAATCCATCTACATATAGAGAACTGTCCTGCTCCCTCCATGAGTTCTTTGAAGGAGCAGCGAGTGCTGATGTCTGATCAATTTTGCACGCCTGTATCTGCTCATCTGAGCAACTATTTTGAAGTTAACAATGTGCAGTATAATACACAATTTAATCACCATTGTTAATCTCCTATCACCTTGTCTTGAAATTCTGTATCATTTTCTTTAAATTAAAAAATGATGAAATCATTTAGAAAATACCTTTATTAGTTTGTATATTCACAGTATGTGGCACAGATGTTTGTCTAAAATTTATGCTTTATTTCCTTTTTTGTGGCACTGGGGATGGAACCCGGAGCATTCACACTGAGTGACAGCTCCAGCCCTTTTAATTTTTTTTTAATTTTTTATTCAGAGTCAGAGTCTTGTTAAGGTGCCCAGGCTGGACTCACACTAGCGGTCCTTCTGCCTCAGCATCTCAGATTACAGGCATGCACCACAATCCCTGGATCTAAGTTCAGGATTTAAAACCCTAGACCCACAGGAAGGAAGGTCCGGGGGAATCCCGAGCCGCACAGGCACCTACGCGTGCATGCCCTGTGGGACCACTCCCAGTGGAGGCTGGCACAGGCAGTGCTCCTCAGAGGCATCTTCCAAGGCGCTCCTGAAGCTTTCCAGGGCTCTGGACAGGACCCTGCTAAGATGCTCACAATTCAACCGCACGGGCAGGCTCCATGTCCTCTCCGTCTCCTAGGAAACACAGTAGCAGTGTAAGTTGGAAACATGCAGGCTTATTTGAATGAGCACAAGTCTGCTTTCCAGCCATGTGCATACTCTCCATTGATGCTCAGCACAGTGTGAGGTTTTTTTGGTTTGTTTATTTTGGTTTGGGTTTTGTTTTTTTGTACTGGGAATTGAACTCAGGACCTTGCACTTGCCAGGCAGGCATTTGTGCCATTGAGCTACATCCCCGGCCCCAGTATAAGTTTTAGGTTGATTTTTGGTCATCTCAGGAAGTAGAGAGAGCGAGGCCCTTGCAGGATGGAAGGAAGAGCTCCCAGCCAGGTCCACCGAAGGCTAGGTCACTAACAGCCTGGCTGGTAGTGAGCTCTTTAATACATGGCAGAGGACAAGCGACATCCTGTGACCTGGTGACTGGCACTCAGATCTCCAGCCCAACTGTCCAGGGCTCCTTCAACCCAACAGTTCCACTCAACAGCAAAAGATAACAAATCTAACAATTCTTTTTATTTTATTTTATTTTATTTATTTATTTATTTATTTATTTTTTTTTTTTTTGGTACCAGGGATCATACTCACGACCTTGTGCTGGCCAGGCAGGTGCTTATGCCACTGAGCTAAATCCCCAGCCCCAGACAGACAGAGTCCGTGCACATGGTTAGTGGGGATACAAAACAGCACAGTGATGGAAAACAGCTCCACGAAAAACCACAGTTAAAGCTGTTGTGCAACCCGAGAATCCCTGCTGGGGACACAGCGGATGGAAATGAAACCAGCCCTGAAGGTGACATCTGCATGTTCATGTTGAGCATCGCGTTCTTCACAGTAAACAAAGCATGGAATTTTCCTAAGGGCCCAGTGCCCACAGAAGGAGGAGTGGAGAAGGAAAAAGCTTCACTCACACGCACGCACATGCACACCTACACATGCACACTCGGGGAGAAATATTATTAAGCCATAAAAAGGAATCGGTGCCATTGGCAACAACATAGATGAGCCTAAAAGAAATGCTGTGTGTGGGCTGGGGATTTAGCTCGGCAGCATAAGCACCTGCCTTGCAAGCAGGCGGTAATGAGTTCGATCCCTGGTACTGATAAAAAAGAAAAAAGACAAAAAAAAAAAAATGCTGTATGAAGTCAGTCAATCCCAGAAAAGTAAGCTAGGGCAGGGTGGAGCCCAGCAAGGCAGGGAGAATGCAGCGGTGGGTGTCATGGGTTTCTGGCAGGAACAGCCACAGAGCAGAGCTGATCCTGCCTGACAGAAGTGCCCAGCTCCCCGCAGCCTGGGACGTTGCAATCCTTACATGGAAGCCCTGAGCCACAGGCTGCCCCCAAAGCTGCACACTGGGCAAGCGCTGCTCTGTTTCTGTCACCAGCCAGGCCGGGGCCACTCTTCTTCATCAAACTGACAGCCAGCCTAGGGGAACAGCGGCCGCCCTGTGGTGCCTCAACCACGAGCAGCCTCTGTGTGGCCAGTTCCTCTTGACTGTCACATTTCCCACACAGCACCGGCTCAGTACTGGACACTGAGCTCTTCTCCTTGACCCGCATGCAGCACACGGTGGGTTTACTGTGCCCGAAGTGGCTGGGACAACGCAGGTTCTGGGGTTCACATCTTCATTCAGACTTGGGAATACTGGTGTCCAGGTGATGTAACATCGTGGGAATCGGACCTGATCTAAATGCTGAACCTCTCTGTGCTGCGGGTGCCCCTCACACACACAGGCGGAAGGGCGCCTCACACGCCCTTCAAGAATGCCTGTCAGTATGGTTCCCACTGCCGCCCAGCGTTGGCACTCAGGGTTTGGATTTCACGGTGCTCTGGTTTGGGACTGTGGGTGTAGGTAATTAAATAAGAATCTCATGATCTGAGTGGGCATGGTGGCAACCATGAGCAATCCCAGCCTCCTCCGGGAGGCTGAGGTGGGAGGTTGGCTAGTTCAAAACCAGCCTGGACAACTTAGTGGCTCGGTGAGATTCCCCTCGGTAAATAAAAAGAATTTGAAAAGGGCTGGGATGGAGGTCAGTGTGAAGGCCCTGGGTTCAGTCCCCAGTACTGTTAAAGAAAGAGAGGCACAGAGAGAGAAAGAGAGAAGGAGAAAGCGGAGGAGGGAGGAGAGAGAGAGAGAAGAGAAGCAGATTGAAAAAGGCAGGCAGAGAGGGGAAGGAAGAGGGTAGGAGGAGAGGGAGGGAGGGAGGACGTGGTGACCTACACAGCTAAAGGACAACCTGCCTGACCCCAGGGCCACACTGATGATTCTCCCAGGGCCCCCCAGGGCCTGCCCTGACACCCACAGCGGCCTCTCTGGATGCTGGAGCCCAGAGGTGCAGGGAGGAGCTCTGCACTGAGGGTAGAAGCTCAGCATGGCCACCTCCAGCTTCCCTGCCCTCACAGGACAGGACACTGGCAGAGCCACTCTCCTGAAAAGCCACCAGTGGTGCTCAGACCTGGGGAGAAAGGCAGGCTCTGTGTACAAACCTCACACCCCTCTGGCAGGGGGCTGCTGCTCTGAGCTCCTGGCCAGAGAGCCGCCCAGACCAAAGACAATCGAAGGTGCAGGGTTGATGGAGACCCTCGTGGGCACTCAAATTAAGAAAGAGAACATTTACACCGAGCCACCACTCTACTTTCAGTTCATGGAAGCTGGAAGTGCACTCAATTCTGAGCCAGTGATGGGCCAGCAAACATTTGCAAACAGATGTACAGGAAACAGTGAGTGAATAAGTAAAAGGTCTGCTCTGGCCGCTTCCCGTGGTGTAAATGCCCCCACGGCTCTAAGGTAACCATGCCGAGTACAGCACTGTAGAACAGAGACTGGGAGGAGCTCTGGGCAGTGCAGAGCCCTGTGGCACTGATGCCCTGGAAACAGCACGGAGTACAGTGCAGGATGGCAGGGCCAGCAGCCTTGAGGCCACAGTGGGCAGCCATGAGCTCTGGTCACCTTTGTTTATGGCACAGATTATTGGACCATGTTTTTGTGGTTGGATCACTGAAGTCAGAGCCTCACTCGCAGTTCCTGAGTATTTAACAGCACCTCTGGCAGGTGGACGCCAGGGCCCTCAGCCTACCCTGGGGGAATCCCAGAGAAGCAAGGCAGGGAGGCCACCTTCTGCTAACCCAGCTTCTGACATGACCCCTGTGTGATGCCACCAAGCTGGCCATGAGGACAAGCAGTGAGCTCAGAATAGCGCAACTGCCAGGCAAGGGCCAAAGGCAGTGACCAGGAAATCCCCGGAAATGCAAAAGAAGAGGAAGGCACTGGGCATGCTGGTGTATGCCCGTACTCCTAGCCCTCTGAAGACTGAGGCAGGAGGATCACCTTGAATTTGAGGTCAGCCTGGACCCTGTCTCAGGAAAAAAAAAAAAAAAGGAGAAAGAAGGAAAAAGGAAGTTGACAAACCTGGGAGACGTTGTGCACCAGAGCGGCCCCTTGGAGAGCGAAAAAGATGAGACCCCGCACCCCTCCTTGCTCACAGCTCAGAGCTGCACACAGGACCTCCTGTGTCCATGACGGGTTTTCTGCAGAAGAAACAGAGTGGTCATCAGAATGGGCTGTGCCCCCAAGTCATGGTTCAGACAGGAGATTACAACAGGATTCTAGCATCACCAAGATGAACTTTCCAGTGACCGGGCAAAGCCAGGCCTTCGTAAGCTTGTTTTAAATTCTGAGGAGAGGCAGAGAGCATGTAGGGCATGGCGTGGCATTTCCATACTGGCCACCTGGGACTGCAAAAACAGTGGCCCCCATTCCTATTGAGAACATTGGAGATCCTGCTCCCCAGCCACCCTGGGGATGTCCCCTGCCCGCTCATCTCTGAAAGCTGCTAGTCATCATCCTCTCTAGAGACCACCTGTGAGCTTCCCAACAGAACCCTGAGATCTGTCTTCTGTGCCCCACCTGCTCCCCTCAACCTGACGTGCCCAGCCCCACCCAAAGTGTGGCAAATGACAGCAGGATGCTCTCCGGTGGCCATGGAATCTCACTGTGCATGCGGGCCATGCTTCCTTCGTTCCCTGACACTTTGCCTCTCAAGTCCCAGAGGTGATTATAGACATCACTTTTTCTGAGTTGTGTAGAAATCAGTTTCCTTCTTTTTCCACCCCAAACCGGCCCCTCTTCCTGTATCCTCCAGAGGCGGGGTGCTCCTTCACCCCCATTTGCCAGGACAGTCTTGGTTTCTGTGCCTCACCCTGGCACCGTTGTAAACAGTGCTGCGTTTCCTTCATTCCCAGCATGCCTGGTGGGAAGGAAGCATTGGAGCTGTGCTCCCCACCCCAGGAGAAGAAGGGAGATGGGGAACAGGGGGACTTCCCAGAGAGGAGGGAGACAAGGGAGCCCGGGACAGGCCAGCCCACCATCGGCATAGGGCAAGTGGTGTGGCTCTGCTCCCTGCATCCGAGTGAAAAGTGGGTGCCGGGGCCCCACATGGTGTTCTGCAAGGCTCCATCCAGGCTCTGTGGTTATGGGTTGCAGGGCCAGCATGTGTGGCCATCGAGCCTTGTCTACCTCTGGATCTGAGGCCCCACAAGTGTCACCAAACAATAGGGTCCTGACCTCAGCTAGAGCTTAGAGCCCAGCTGCCTCCTAGGGTCCTTCTTCCTCCACCTCACTCTGCCCCTTCCCCTGTCCAGCGTCTTTTCCTGCTTTGAGGAAGCATCCAGAGACCACTGCACAGCCAGATCCTCAGGGTCCCAGCACTGCTTCCCAAGGACAGTGCCTCAGTCTTCCTCCTTCCAGGCCCTGGGCACCGATTCACCCTCTGCAACTCTACCTCGCCCATCTGTGGTGCTCAAGGATAAGAGCAGACATCCCCCAATGGTCCCTCTGTCCCCAGGAGCCCAGCAGCCTCGCAGGCAACCTTGTGGCCACACTAAAAGCCACCAGATGAGGAAATGACAACTTCCCCCTGTGGATACTGAGATCATCCCCCAGAGGCAGCGACTCAGGACTGCAGCGGATATAAAGACCCAGCTTCCCTGCCCTCTGTGCCATCCAAGAGCTGTCCAGCCATGGTGGCCCACCTGCATGTGTCTACCTCACCAGGTGACCCATCTACCCACCCCCGGGCCTGCCCAGGATGGAGCTGTGCTCTGGTAAGGAAAGTGGGGTGATGGATTCAATGGTAGCCAAGCCACAGAGTGTCCCTCCAACAAATCATAACAATGCATGCTCAGCACCAAGCTGATCCTAATGTAACTTGCTGTGTTAATTTAGCAGTTCCATACAAGATGGCAAGATGCAAGCTGGCAGGAATCCTGGCGTCTATGAGGGTTTCATTCACTTAAAATCCATTGCCTTTCTGACTGTGAAACTCCAGAATAATTACACCTGCCATCTTGGCTGCATTCATTACACCAGAACAGCACTGAAGAATCAGGTAGAAGCTCGACCCAAATCTCACCCATGTGAGCTTCCTCTTGGGGGAGACTGTGCACTCAGCATCCCTGCAGGTGCTTAGGGTGCCACAATCTGCAGGTGACAGGTGGTCACTGTTCACAGCTTCTTCCAATTGGAATTAAAAGTTGTCTCAAAAAGCCATAGGAAGCCCTTAGCCCCACAAGGCCAAGAACTGGGGTGTCATTCGCCTTGGCCAGGCTCGGCTTTGTCCCCTACGCCCATCTCCTCTCTCACTTCTCCTCTTTCTTAGTCCTCAGGGTGGATCAGCTCTTGGGTTCTTCTTAGTAAAGTGCAGTGTGTGAGTGATGGGCTCCAACCCCGGAGAAGACACTCCCTGGACAGGGAGGAGCCTGCCCTCTCACAGGGGCGGGGATTCAGCAGGCCCTGGGTACCCACACAGGCCGGGTCCTAGGAGTCACCATGCTGTGCTCACCGCCTCCTCTATTGAACCCTCCCAGCCACATGCTGAAACACACGTCCCCCATTCTGGCCAGGCTCGGAGGGACACGGTAGACTGTGCTGTGTCCCTTGGCCAACACGAGGTATGGCACCAGCCTGATGGATCACAAGGCAGGTTCCTGCCATGTCGAGGGCTGTGTGAGTCCCAAGTGAGTCTGTGGCCTGGAAGCACTGCTGTCCCCAGGTGAGGGGACCTTGCAACTCAGCCTCACCTATGATGATCAATCAGTCCTCCCATACACGTCTAGCAGAGGCCTCCCTGTCTATGCCAGGGCTCCTCCTGGGGTCTAGGTCCTGCGCCTTGTGCTCCTCCCCAGCATTTAGCAGCACCAAGATCATCTTGTTTATTGACATCCCCTTTTGCAAAAAGTGTTGACTTTGTCTGCCAGAGACTCACATCTCCCTACTGTCCTCAGGCAGGCACTGCCCTGACACCCAGCTTCTGGCCTCAGCTGCCTACTCAACTGTGCCCACCAGACCAATGACCCCTCCTCTGGGGGTGGACTCTAGGCAGACACACAGCGACTCTCTCTATGTGAGACACATTCTTCCCTTTATGATGTCCTTCCAGCCCTGTACAGTTGGCCACTGTACAAAGACAGCCTAGGGCACAAGGATGCCTGTCCAGCATCTCCTGCAGCTGGGATCCCGATGAACCACAGGAGGAGCCGCGGGGTTCCTGGCACTGACACCCCTCTGCATTCATTCATGGTATGTCAGTGGGGCTTCCTGTGATCAGATTCCCAAGCACTGGGATTATCTTGGATAGGCACAGCCCTGATGACAGAAGGGGACTTGCTCAAAATACCATCTGTGATTGGGGGGAAGCCAGAAGATCAGGGCCCAAGGGAGGAACCTGGGTATGGAAAGTCAAAGAAATAGCACCTAAGCTAAGAAGGATAACAGAATACAGTAGTGATGTAAATAATAGCAACAATCTAATAATGCACCAGGGTAGCTAGGAGAGTGAGCTTGTGCTGTCAAGCGGACTTGAGGAAGGGCGGGGGTACAGGGCCAGCTATGGTAGGGTTCCAATCAGGGGCTCAGAGCTCCTCAGTCCTGCTCCAACTCTGTGCTCCTCTTGGCCTGATCAGAGGCACCCCAGGATCCCAACTGCTCGCCTCTGGCCCTTTTCCTCAACCATCTCACCTGCACTGGCCACTATTAGGTGACAGAGTCCTTAGCCTTGAGCACAAGAGAGGGTGCTGAGCAGCAGTGGCCAGCAGGGTAGAAAGGGACCATGGGTGTCCATGGGAATAATCAAAGCAGCAGGGTTCATCTCACAGAGGCTGATGTCCTCCACATCCCACCCCAGTGCCGGAGAAAGCCCAGAGATAACCCAGTCCCCCATCAGGCAGCCTCCCTTCGCTGGGCCATCACAAAATGGAAACAGAAGTGGCACCATCTTGGATGAGGGGCCCTGGGTCATGGACACAAGGGAAGTGCATTCCAAGAGCAAAGACAAGGAGAGAGAACAGGAGGCCCAGCCCAGGGCCAGGCCCAGGGCCACTGTCTGACTTGGCCAGAGCAAGGTCCCCGGAGGTCAGAAAGACATGGCCATGCCTGGCAGCCAGACTAAGGAAGTGGTGCTTTGTTCTGAAAGAAACCCAGGGATACTCTGCACACCACTGGGCCGGCTTAGCCCTGATAAGCGGCACAGAGCGACTGTCACACACTCCTGCCCACCTGCAAGGATAACGAGTGCACGCAGAACCGCCACCTCCACTGTCTGTAGCTTGGCCATGGCTTCCGAGGACTCATCCAGCTGCTGGAAGACTCGACACAGCTCCACCACACTAGGGCGAAACAGACAATGCCTTGAGGAGTGAACTTCTACAACCCACTGCAGGGGAGGCCAAGTTATGGCCCACATGCAGGAGCTGGACACCCTGCCCTGCCCAACCTGCTTCACAGAAAAGCACAAAATCACAGGAACCAGATATGGACCTCAGGAAAGATTCCTATTTTAGCTCATGGTATTGACTTTGCTGGGAGCAGCCTGAATTTGCATTTTCTGCTTGTTCCATCACCTGGAAATATGAAAGTGGACAGGTCAAGGCTGTGGAAGCTGGATGCCAGCCGTGAAGGATGAAATCCTGCCCTCTAGGATGGCATGGGGATGCTGTGTTGAGTGAAATAAGCCAGGAACAGAAGATAAGCATCCCACATCCTCAGTTACATGCAGAATGTCAGAAAGCTGACCTCACAGTCGTCGAGGGTGCAAGGATGGTGAGCAGAAGAGGGAGAGAGCAGGGAGGGAAGTGAGCGAGATCACCAGGTACTAAGGGTGGCCAGGGTCACAATAACGCATTGTATGTCTCAAAATAGCTGTAAGAGGGCCAGCAAAAGCTCATCCCAAAGAAAAGGGGAGGGGGTGGACTCACTAATTACTCAGACTGGAAAAGGAAAGGCTGGACATGAATCAGTCTATGCCAAAGCCAGCCTCAGGCTGTGATAAAAGCTGAAATCAAGAACAAATGACCCTGGGGCTGGGGATTTAGCTCAGCGGCATAAGCACCTGCCTTGCAAGCAGGTGGTCATGAGTTCGATCCCTGGTACCGATAAAAAAGAAAAAAAAAAAAAAAAAAAAAAAAGAAAGAAAAAGCACAAATGACCCTGGACTCATGCACTTGGCTTGGCTGCAGCAGAGGAAAAAGGAAGTGAATGAGGTGTTTGATTACCTTGCATTGGTCAGTGAGACTTTTTGCCAGTTTTCAATCAATACTATTAATCGCTTGAGATATTTCTTGAAACTCGATGATGGTTTGGTATTAGGAGGTGAGCCCATCGTCTCTTCCGTGGTCCTCTCCTCTTGGGCTGCTGTGTGATTCTTCCCTGCGGTTGCATTCATAAAAGTCTCAGAAACAGGCCGGAACCTGGTGCTCACAGAGTTTTCCCACCGAGAGTCGTTTGGGAGGAGCCTCAAGAGCATGATTCTAGCTAGGGCCCCCTGGATGGCTTGCTCAAGGTGATGACCAGTTATGTTCTGAATGGAGGACAGGTTGGAAAGTAAACCTTCACTGAAACCATCTCCGCTGTCACTTGTGATTCTGTGCGAAGCCTCCTCGCCTGTGGCTGTGTCTTCCAAAAGGCTGTGTGGGGGCTGAGCAGATGTCAGCCACAGGTCCAGAAGATCTGCATCGTCCCTCCCTAAACTGCTCCCCAAAGAGCCTAAGGTGAGATCAGCCAGAATTTTCATGTAAGTTCTTATTTCTGTGCTGTTTTCTGTTAACATTCTACCCAAAACAGGCAGGACTTCATGAATTCTTTCCCACTGGGTATCTTGGGGGCCACCATGAGAGGAAACAGGATTGGAGTGTAAGAAGTTGATTTGACTGGTGATGTCATTTATGGGAACTAAGCAGCCCAGAATTTCATTCCATAAGTTGACAGAATCCATCGGAAATATCCAAGTCCTGTTATTAAATGCCAGCACAAGGCGTGCCAAATCTCCCAAGTCAGTTTTAGCAGAAGTTAAAAATTGAGCAATTTCTTTCAAAATCTCAGTAAAGTCCTTGGATTGGTTCACATCTGTGAGGAAGTCAGGAAACAGACTGGAAATATGAGGGTCCTGTGAAACATCAGGTGTCACCCCAATCATCCCAAAGACCAGGTCAAGAAATGGCACCAACAGATCATTTACATTTTCAAATGTGAAATGATCTTTCTCCAAAGTAGCCATTTCCTTCACAAGATGCTGAACTCTCTGTTGCATGCTAAAATAGAGGGCATGGAAGAATTTTTTGCTGTCTTTGGGCTGGGAGATGGGGTGAGTCTCAGAGACTGTGACTATCTTCCCTGAAAGTTTCTTGGCCAGCTGCAGAAGTTTCACAAAGGAGTCCACTGTTGTGACCAGATCTTTCAGCCCAGCACTGTCACCCAGCAATGTAGCTAGAGTTCTAGATATTTCCACAAGGGGTCCCAGGACATGACCTTCTATGCCAGTGTTGGAAATGACACCAAGCAGCCTCTTGGTGACTTCTAGTGCTTCTCTGTTCCGTAGAGGAAATGTGTTATTTGCGAAGGAAAGCAAGTCCCTTAGGTGAGCCAGTAAGGCTTCCTGGAGTCCAGGATACAAGATACAGAAGTCACCGGGAGAGGTGAGCAGCACATTCATGAGATTTGCCATCTCTGCAGAGCTTTCTCGCACAAGGTGAAGAACAGACCTGAGACCCTGCTGGAGCTGGAAGAGCTCTTCAGAGCTGTTCACATGGAAAAGCACCTGACTCAGCTTCTCAGGAAAATCCTGGCCACCTTCAGGCTTATTCCCCACAGACTCCTCCCACAGAAGGTCATGGATGACACCACGCATCAGCTCCAGCCCCCAGGGGCTGTAGACATAGGGCTCCCTGCTGTCTGCAGTGTAAGAACTTCTGAGCAGGCGATGCACATCCTCCTTTAAGCTTGAGAAGAGTCTCATCCACGCGGCTTCATTCCTTGAGGTCAGAAATGGACCCAGCTCCAGAGCTTCTCGAATGGTTTCTCTGGGGACAGAACTGTAAATATAAATATTAATGTTTCACACGTTACCAGTGGGAAGATCACAACATAGGGTGATGTCACTGTTCCATAGTGGTGTCATGGCAAGGTGACACTGTGTGAAAGAAGACATGCTAAAGTAATCGCAGCAGAAGTTTAGTTTTATTGTTCCCCAATAATGAAAAGAGCATAGAAATTTTACAGACAATTCTACCACAACTCTTTGAACCTAACAATGGGAAAAGCTAAATACTTGGGTCTAGAAAAGAGGTGAAATGGCCAGGTGTGATTAGCACTCACCTGAAGTCCCAGCATTCTGGGAGGGTGAGGCAGAGGGACTGCAAGTGGGAGCCCAGACTGGGTAAACTTAGTGAGACCATGTCTCAGAATAATATAAAATTCAAGGGCCCAGGATTTAGCTCAGTGCATAAGCACCCACATGGCAAGCACGTGTTCAATCCCTGGTACAAAAGAAAGAAAGAAAGAAAGAAAAAGAAAAGAAAAGAATAAAAATAAATACAATTTAAAAAGGCTGGGGAGGTAGCTTAGTATGAAGCACCCCTGTTCAGTTGCCAGTACCAAAAAGAAAGGAAGGAAATAAGAAAAGAAGAAAGACGAGTGAGGGAGGTAAGAGATGGCATCACTACAAAGTGATTCTTTTGGGAAGGAAGGGGTGGAGTCAAATTCAGGACCTCACACTTGGCAGACAGGCGCTGCAGCACTGAGCTAAATCCTCGGCCCCTTACAAAGTGCTTCTTGATATGAGAGATAAATGTGGAGATAGGGAAAATCCATTCATAGTTCTTCTGGATTTGAAGTTTTGACAGATCACTTGGACACGTGAAGTCTCCATGATAAGCCAGCTTGGCTACCTGCAAGGACAACCCAGCAGGCCCTTTCTCAGGGTCTCTGGGTGTGGGGGCTATACGGAAGAGTCACAGGACAGATGGGCATTGGAGGCTATTGTGTAGCGTGAATATGTGTCCCACCAGCTGCTCAATTCAACACGAATCCAAGCGCTGCTGAGGAGAGAGTTTGCAGATTAAAACCCACAACCAATTAATTTCAAAATAATCAGAAGGGCACAAACAGTAGGTACCTGGAAAAGTCAGCTGCTAGGCACAGGGCTTCCCCGCCCTGCAGACCCAACAGCAGCTGTGAGACAGCTGGCTTATCCGTCCTAGGTTTCCCTTCCTGAAGACCCCTCGGACCACAAGGTTCAGTGCATCCTCCTAGTGCCCCTCCCCCCTGGGACCTCCTCCTGGTGGCCAGTCCTGCTGATGCTGAATCTGCTTATCAAGCCCCCAAATTAGAGAACGGAGTCCCTTCAATGAGGTCTTAGCTAGAGCACTGGTTCCATGGTGGAGCCCAAACTGACACAGCATGGAACAAACTGGAAATCCTCTTCAGCATTTTCACTAGTAAGGGTCAAAGATATTCCAGAAGGACATAACTCACTATTCATGTTAACGAGACTGAAAATATGGAAGCCCTACATTTTTAAAGCGGCAATCTCAATCCCTGTGCTAGATGTGTGTATACAATAATACCTGACTTCACAAACTTGATTCTTTCTAAGATTTTGGTTGCAAACCAAAGGAGTCACAAGTCAAATCTGGTACTTATGATTGGAATTCTGGAAAGAATTAAGTATGTGAACTGAGGTATCTGTGCTTCCATATTTTCCATTCCATCTAAAACAGAATTTCACTACCTTGCAAGTGCAAGGTCCTGAGTTCGATTCCCAGTACAAAAATAAATAAATAAAATAGAATTTCATAATTTTTTTCACAATCTAAAAGTGAAAGAATATGTAATTCTTGACCACAGGCTAAAGTGTTACTAGTTAAATGACAATAACAGAATATTTTACCATGATATTTTGACAAACTGCTCATCAAAACATTCATTTCAAAGATCATTTAAACATGTTAGGAGAAAGTCTTGTCCTTGGCATTTCTGTACTCCAAATAATGAAGTGGTTTGAAAAATAAAATATAAAGCCAAAGTAAACACACCTCATCTCTGCAACATCTTCAACGCCTTTAAGCAGAAGACATACTTTGTTGTCAGGATTCTCTGTTAGGAGAAGGGAGAAGGCTGTTTTTACAAGCTGAACCACAAAATCCACCACGTGTCTTGGAGAGACAACTGTTTTTCCACCACTTCCAGACCATGCATGGCTCAAGGTGAGGTTGATAAGCTTTGCTTTGTGCAGATCATTAGCACATGAACAGGGGTCTGCTTCCTGATAACCCCTAGCTATGCCACTGATGGAAGTGATCAGAATATTTTCAAGAAGACACTGAACAAGTGAGAAATTAGTTGGCTGTTCCTGATGTAGCAGGGGAGAAAGAAAAGCAACATGGAAATTGCCCTCTGTGGAAATGTTCTGTAGGTAATTCCAAAAGGTAATGATATCTTTAATCAACAAAGTTACATTATCAGGTGGACTCTCATTGGACACAGGGACAAATAATAATCGTATTAATCTGGAGTAATCTTCCTTTGCATATTCATGAAGCCAGGTTTTTGTGACAACAAGAAAATCTTTGATAATTTCCAGCATCTTCGATGGTGATGAATGGAGGATCTCTAGATAATAAGAAAGCCACTCAGTGGTGTTATGAAGGGCCACTGAGTTCACACTTCGGATTTCTTTGGTGATTTCAGACAGCAGGTGCCTGACACTAGCGTCACATGTCAGGTCCTTCACAGTTTGTTCCAAGTCCCACCACAGCTTATCAAAACCAAAGGTCCCCGCCCTTGGTTTAAGGTAACTCGCTAATGCTGCTGAACTGCTACCTGTGTGGTTAATATCCAGAAGGCTCGTGATTATGGGGAACAGGTAATGGGTTCTGTTTTCTGGGTTCCCATCCCCAGTAATTGATTTGAGTATCCTTTCCAAACGTAAGGAAATATTAGTTTGAACAGCAGCCTCTGAACCTGTGGCAGGATTTATAATCTTGTTTAAACTAGCCAGCTTGTCAAGAATCTTCTTACCTGAAGTAAATCTTGTGAAGTTGACATTTGCTAGCTTTTCTATGATCTGCAAAGCAACTTGCTTCATAGGAACACCAGGGCAGAATTCAGGGGCGCTGCTGTTACTTTGATTTCCAGAAACGGGGAGAAAGGGTAACACTTTGTGCCAAAATTCTTGCACAGTTTTCAGCACCGCAGTTTTAACATGCAAGACTTCCGACAGCTGCAGAAGAATGGAATTCCAGGCCGCCAGCTCACGAATCACACAGACCACTTTCCTCGTCATTTCCACGCGTGAGCTCTCCTTGGAGCACTGTGAGTCCTCCCGAGCGCGGGACAGGTGGAGATGGTCCAGCACACTGGCCACTTTGCCATAAAAGGAAGAAGACTCCAGCCTCTGAGCATCACAGTCTTCTGACTCGGGATTCTGCAGAAACCCAGCAGCTCCGTGAGTCCTGCACCAAAGCACAGGAAGGCAAGCTAAAGCCTCTGACACCAGCGTGGGCTGCTCTGACGCCTCTTCAATGGCACTGGAAAGAGATTTTATTGCAATGGCGAAGTCCTCCTTGGAGACGTTGGCCATGCTGATGCCGTGAAGCAGCGTGAAGTCGCGGACTTCCTTGAGGCCCTCCGTGAGGTTTTTGTCAGCCACTCTCTCCAGGAGCTGCATGACGTGAGGGAGAACGTAGTACAGGTCCACCACTGTGTTGACCACCTCTCCAGGGAGGAGGCGGGAGAGTCGCAGGAGATGACCGACGTTCCAGGAACGCGAGCTGTCTGCGATCTTCTCCAGCAGGCCCACGAGCAAGCGGACCACCCCGTGGTCGTCAGCGCCCGGGCTACTGAGATTCTTGAGGAACTGCACTGAGCTTTCACTAATCCGTTCCAGCTGGCCTACTAACAGGTTTATGTCCGCCCTGCTGAGACTGCGCGTGAAGGAGGACAGGCGTTTCAAAACGCGAGCGTGACCTGCGTCAGCCTCAAGACTGTGCAAGACCGAGGGTGTTAAAGCGTTGAACGCATCCCTTATCAGCTGAACAGCAAGTTCCACTGATGTCCGTATTCCTTCTGGAGCAGTTTCTGGTGAGTTCCAGAGACCATGAGATAAGTTAAGGGCCAGGTAACTCACTAAATGATAAAACGACTTCCCGAAACCGGTCAGCTCCTTCTCCTTTAAAGTGGTGGCAAGTGACCTCAGGATTTCTTCAGTTTTAGAAGACATGTCTTGCAGGATGCTGGGGGAAATATTGTGCACACGGTTTTGAATTTCCTTCCCCAGTGCTGCTAAATGCAGCCAAACATTGTGAAACTGTTTGGGGATTGCATGTGATGCTTCAACAGGTCTAAGAGTTAATGCACTAAAGTTTTTCCAGTTAGTTTGAGAGGCAAACTCCAAATCTGCAGTTAAGTTCTTGATAATCATTTGCACACTGTCCATGGAATCATTTAAAAGAGTTAATAAAATCTCAAATCTCGGTACCTTTTCTTTTTCAAAGACTGAAGTAAGTGTAGTATTTAGAAAGTCAGTTATGCCTTTCAAGTAAATATTTATACAGTTTCTATCTGGCTCATTCAAAGAACAAAGAGGCTTCATTATATTTAATGCCTGAGTCACCAATTTCAGTGCAGTGTGCATTTCATTCACTACATCTGGGAAACTCCCAACAACGCTGGGAATGAGGCCCTGTGAAAAGCTTGAGTTATACCTCGAGGCTACATGGTTTACAACATCCGCCCATGAAGTGCATCCTCTCAGACTGCTCGTCACATTCTCTGAGAAAAATGTGGAATTTAACATGGCCAGAATACGCACTGACCTCTGGGGAGGGTTTGAACGTAATAAACCAGCCTCTAAAATCAATGCTGTCACATTGTGGAAAACAGCAGCACAGGATGACAACTCTGTGTCACGTGACACATGCCTGAGAAACAATATTGCTTCTCTTAGCTCAGTGACGATGCTGTCAGGCTCTGCTCTGTAATCTGTGAGATTGACAGAAAGAACATGATTGATCAGTTCTGCGCATCCACCCAGAGGTCCTGATGCATTGCTTAGCTCCATGAAAACATCAAGCAAGGCACATAAAAACTCCCGACTTATATCTGTGTCCACTGGGAACAACTTTAGCTGATGCAGGGCTGTTTTCAGGGTGGAAAGAGACCTCTCTACCTGGTCCAGGTTCAGTGACTTTGCTGCAACTAATGCATTGCTTAAGGGTACCCAAAGGTCCCGGAAATCATCCTCAACATGAAGGCCGTCAGCAAGGGATACGTTTTCAAACAGATTTAGCAGAAGTCTAGACACTTGATGGCTGGGAAGCAATCCTTGGCAGTTCTTAGAAATTTTCACCTCATTTTCCAATTCACCCAAAAGCTGAGTGAGACCAGCATGAAGAGAAGCAAAAACATTCAAGTCAAACCCAGATACATGAGCCATGCTCTCCCAGGTTTCAGCCCACATCTGAAGCCATGAAACCGTACAGTGGACAGCCACAAACTCACTGAACTCACTGGCATTCGCTGAGAGTGCTGAGGAAATTTGTGCCCATGGGAGGATGAGTGAAGCTGTTGAATGTTTTGCAGAAGAAACTGCTTTATTATCGAGAACAAAGCACTCACTACCCAGCAGTGCATCACCTGAATCATTGAAGAGCTGGCTCATGTACTGAAGCAGGGAAATGTGAAAACCATCATCTACTGTGAACAGTCCTTTGAGGGCTGCCAAAGTAGCACGGATCATTTCCAATTCTTGGTTCTCCGTAGATCTCAGGGATTGGGATTGGAGTTCCAAAAACTTAAAAATCGAAAGCAACTGCTGACAGAAAGATTCTTCAGAAATCTTCCCAAGAACCCCAGCAGCTTCAGACAAAAATGCAAATGCTTTACTGATATCTTGGAAATTAAACTGCTTTATGATGTCTGAAATGTATCTTGAGATCTGGCTAAGGTAAGTTAACATCGGCTCTCTCTTCTGAAGGCTGGAGAATTTGGAAATAAATTGGTAAAATGAAGAATAAATTTGCAGAAGTAAAGCAGAATCCTTGTCTTTGAAGACATTGAGGTAGATATGAGTCAAAATTCGGTCAATTTCTTGCTTTTGAAGTTCAGAAAGGGCTGAGAAAAGATTAGATGCATTTCTGATAGCATCCACTGTGCCCAGTGTACCCGAGGCTGATCCCTGGGTCAGAAATCCAAGCTCACAGAGACCATTTATTACAGACTTGCTCACATGCACAACATCTATGTGCGCAGACGGTGATGCGGGCCAACCTAAATGGAGCAACTGGGAAAAGCTGAAATTCTCTCTGGGGATTGTCTCATTTCCTGGGATAGAAAAATTCAGAAGTGTAGCCTGGGACTCTAACTTAGCTCTTCCTCCTTCTGAAATGCCATAGAGCCATAATTCTAGCAGCTTGGCGTTCATTTCAAACAGCATTAATTCCAGGACTCTCACAGCATTTCTGTATCCCTCCCTCATCCAGGGACTGCCATGGGTTTCCATGTTTCCTGTCACCGTTTTGCCCAGTGCCAATGGTTCCTGAGCATCTGCTCCAGATGAGTGTCTCTCTAAACTTTTTAGGTGATTTATCCACAAAACCCTTCCATTTGGAAACTTCTCAGGAAGTGAGAGGAGGCTGTGGAACTCAGGAGTGCTAGAAGATTCCAAAGGATTAGGCAATAATAATTCCTCCAAAAACTCCACAAATGACAGAAGAAAGCTTGAGTCTTCATTCCCATGGGCATTCCACTTCTTATCCATCATGAGAAGGTGCTTTGTGAAACTGAAGGCTCTGCAACATCAATAAAATAATTTTGGTATCAGGAAGAAAAAATCAGCATATTCATTTGCTAAGATAGTAATAATGCACAGTACACTAAATGAAAGGTTTACTAGGCAGCGCATTTTTCAATGACGTTAAGCTACCATGAGCATTTGAAAGTGTTTCAGAAATCCAAAATGTAGTTGTATATAGTTCGCTTAATATATTTTTTACAGTCAGGAAAAATGCATTCCATTTTTTTCTCTGTGAATTCACATATAAAGGGTGCTCACTGTTTAATTTGCTGTCCATGTAAGAAGACTCTTAGGATTGTCTTCATCTTTCATTTTAAAATGCCTTGGGCTACCAAGGAAGTCTGCAGGCTGGGATGCCTCAGAGACAGTACCAGTATTCTTTAAAGGATAGGTTGGGTTGGGACTCCCTGATCAGGGCACAGCCTCTGCTCCTTTACCAAGGAGGAGGGCTATCCACCCAGGTGGTCCCTTTTAAAATGTAAAGCATTTTCAGAAGGCTGTGGCCGGTCCCCTTTTACAGAACTAACCTCTGACTTGATAGTCACAGCCTGTGGAAATCCTTGGTGTTTCAGAACTTGGGATGCTCAGACTGTTTTTGTGAGGCTCCCCCTCACATACTGGGGTTTCCGCAGTGCCCCTCTGAACTGTCTCCTTGCACGGGGCCTCCAGACTCAGGCCAGCTTCATGTGGACTCAGCCCCAGCACTGTTGCGTGGCCAGATGCAGGCCACAGTGAGGGCTTCCACTCCCTGGCTTCCTGGGGGCTGGGATTGTGTCTGAGCCTTCTAGTCTTTCCTGTGTGTGTGTGCCTCAGACCCTTGTCTCCCTGCCCCGAAGCAGGTACAGGAAAGGTAAAATGCACCCATCTCCTCTCTCTTTCTACAGCTTAGGTCAGCGCATACACCCAAAAAAATATGGGTTTAATTTAGTTAATTGGTATTTGTAGGACAGAAGATGATTATTTTAAAGCAATTTCTGAAAAAAAAATTCTCATCAGTAAGGAGAAAGTTCTGTTACTAGGAATTTGGCGTAGCCCTGGGCTAACCCAGCCCTCCACAGAAACATATTATATAAAATGACTCCCGGACAGATAGCTGTGCATCACAGGAGAGAATGCTCGGGGGTGTTGGTGCTGGGAACCAAGAGGGCCTCTGAGCAGAGATAGCACGTGACCCTGAAGGGAAAGCCAGGACCAGCAGTGGCATCATCACATGTGTCTCCTTGGTCTGCAGTTTGTGAAGCACTTCTGCGGCTGCAGAATCATGCTGTCTCGGACAGCCTGCTGAGGTCCAGGGCACGACATTCATTTCATGGAAAAAAAAAAAAAAAAAAAAAAGTTTCCACTTTCTCAGTTCCCATTGTTAGCAGGCGGCATGAACAGGACATGACCCAAGGCTTTTCATTTTGAATTCAGCATCTTAATATTAACTGTAGTTTGCCTCTAGTATGTGTCCAGTCCTCACAGTGACATCTAATTCTCTACGAGATACACAATATACCGTGATGGATCCGTAGATATAATAATCCACATATTCTTGGTATGTCTACGCTGCTTTTGCTTCTGTCTCTCTGGAGCTATTCCATATTGGAGACTTTCAGGAAGGTGAGGAAGTACAAATCTGACATGTCAGGGAACTGATGCCCAGGAGTTCAGACTCACTGGCCTTTCTTGCGTACCTACTTCAAGCAGGGCTCAGCTTCCCCAGTACGAATCTTGGTTTAGATGCATGTCACAGAATGGTTTTTCAACTTCAGAGTACACCAGAATCATCTGTGGGGTTGGCAAGTGTGCAGGAAACCAGGTTGCACACAAAGGGCAAGATTTAGTGTATTTTGGGCATCTGTGTTTTTAGTAAATGTCACAGTTAACTCTTATCCACTGCCAAGTTGGAGGTTCTGCTCTAACATAAAGCTCTGGTCCCCATCAATGTGGAACACCACCCTCAAGTGATAACACATGCTTTTAAACTGGACACAGGATCACAGTACCCATAGTCATCTCACTCCCCTCGAGACAGATGCTGAAATAGCAGGGTGGAAGTAAAATAGTATGTTTACTTCCAGAAATCACTTCTGTCCCCAAAGCCTCCAGAGCAACCAGAGTCTAAATTATTAATCTCATGTCTAAATTCTAAGCAACTAGAAGACACTACTTCTCTAAGAAATGCTTGGATTTTACTGTCTATTATTAATCTATGTTGCTACTGAAGGGAAATCTCATTACTATATATTATTTCCGTCCAAAGCCCTTGGAAACTTGAGTCATACGTTCTATGAACTAACATTAATTTGGCACCTAATATGCAACACTGTGTCAATGTCTAAATCAAGCTCACATGTGTTAATGGGGACTCTGCTTATCTTCATGTGACAAGCAAATGAAGGCCTGGAAGCTAAACCCTAATAACTTACCTGGAGGCGGAAGTTACTGGAGATGTCAGTAAGTTATTCAAAAAGGCAAAATATGTGTCACTGAGGATTTTCCAATCCATGTTTTCTCCATAACAAGGGGAGTCCTGAAGGAGATCTAAACAGAAATATATTGACATCAAACTGGGTGTGCAGATAAATCTAATCAAGTAGGAAGTGCTAGAGCCATTTCCCTAATTCTTGATTTGAACCTGTTTCCTGCCAAGAGGAGAAGTCATTACCCTTTGAGGAACGGACAGCACAGACCCCTGAAAGACAGAAATACGATGAGTGAGGCCTTGAGTGGTCCCTCAGGGGCTCTCAGTGTGAGGTCAGGTCGTGGCTCAAGAAGAGAGAAGTGGCCCAGGATTGTAGGGGGATACAGTCGAGCATTGGAAGATAGCCCGAAGGCTCAAGACTGCAGACCACGAGGGCCACCCGCATCAAGAGACCAACAGTCTGCAGAGAACAAACTACCTGGGACCAGGTGGTTCAGTCCTGGAGAAGACCAAGGCAAAGTACTTGACAATGACCAAGACCAGGAGCATTCCCTATGTCCACAGTCTCACTGAAATGCTTTGGATTTACTAAGCATCTTAATACACACAAAGCTTTCCATCAGTCGCGGGTAACATCTACAACCAGACTGGGGCATCACCAGCATCGCCTAATATCTTCAAAGCCAGGGCCTGGCCTCAGCATGGAACTCAGGGCTAGAGCCTAACAGGTACAGGCCCTTGGTTCAATCCCTAGCAACTTGAAAAGGAAGGAAAGAAACCCACCAAGTCTGCGAGACACTAACTGTCTCACCAATTTGTTTCATAAACATCTAGAAGAATGTGTATGTAAAAACAGCCCGGCACAGTGTACACAATGGTGAGCACTGCATCTGGGGTCCAGGTGAAGGATCATAAGGTCAAGGCCAGCCCAGGTGATTTACCACCTTAGCAGGACCTTTTCTCAAAATTTAAAACAGAAAGTAAGGCTGGAGCAGTAACTCATTGTGAAGACCCTGAGTGAAATCCCCAATACTGAAGGGGAAAAAAAGGAACATAAAATACCCACCACAAAATAAGATTAAAATCTGAAATGCTGTATTTGGTATCCAATAAAAAATTAATGTGAGGAGAAGAAATATGACCCACAATGTGGCAAATAGTAATCAGTCAAAACTGAGAGAGATGGTAGAAATACAGAGAAGAACGTTAATCACTTAAGTTCTGCTTTTCTGATTTTATAGTATTGTAATTAACTTGTTATCTAATTTTGACAGTTTCCAAAGTTCAGTTAAAAAAGCAAAACTTATAATATTAGATAAAATAGGACTCAACTGTTTGCCACATAGAAGACAAGTAAGTGAAATATGTACCTGACACTAATGAAAAGGAATTTATCAAAGTAAAATTCAGTTGATAATGTTATCATTTCCTGATTTATAGACACACTGGATAATCAAGAAGATAGGACAATTCTAAACACATGCGTACAACAGAACTTCAAAACATATGAAAGGAAAATTAATAAAAACGCAAGGAGAAATGGGAAAACCTCATTACAGTCATCAATTTTAGCACACCTCAAGACAAAATATGAGCAGAAAAATAGAAATCTGTGCAGTGCCATCAAACTTGATCTACCTGGTCTATAGAGCATTCCACCCAACAGTAGCATGAATACTTTTCTCAAGTCCCACCAGTAGAACATTTAACAAGGAAGATACCTCGCAAAAAAGTTCACAGAATTAATGTCATACAAAAAGATTGTTTACTAAAATGCAACTAAATTAGAAATCAGTAATAGAAGTATGCCTGGAAAGTCTCAAATATCTGGAAACTAAATGAAACACTTCTAAAAGATTCATGGGTGAAAAGGAACCAAGAGGTCTATGATGACAAAATACTTTGTACTGAGTAAAAATAAAAGTAAATAAATATGCCAAGAGGGGTTAGGGTACTACGAAAATATTAGATAAGAATTTGTAGCACTAATTATCTACATTAGAAAATGCAACAGCTTTTTACTGATGACCTCCATTTCCATGTCAAGAAACTAAAAATGAAGATTTAAACCCAAAGTAAGTTGAAGAGAAAAGTAATGAAAATCAGAGACAAAAATCAAGAAACTAAGAAAATAAAAAACATTAAGGAAAAAGCCTTAAAACCAAAGCCCTGTTGTTCAAAAACATCAATGACTTTGATCTGTCTTTATGGAAGATAATCAAGAAAAAATAAACTATCCATACTAAGTATGAAAGAAGTGCTGAACCACAAATCATATGCATATTTAAATAATAGCAAAATATTATTTTAAAACTTTGTGAAACTAAATTGGGCAGTGTATATTAAAGAGAGAGATTCCTTACTGACTTCAGTCACCAGTGTTCACACAGGGAGAAGGAAATGGCTTGACAGCCTGTGCCCACTAAAGACACAGACACAGAAACACAGCTGTGCCCTCCATGATGCCATGTACCCCACGGTGCCATCCACCTCCTGGCCACACGGTCAGTGGCTCGCACCACACAGCTTGGCTTGAGGATGCACACGCTACAGAGTGGCGCTGGGATCCATCACTTGCCAGATGCATTTTTCAGAGCCTATTCATGACACATAAGTGATGCAGTACTGAAATATCTTCCCCCAAGGGAGACTGAAAGCCCTGCTGACTTCACCAGCAAACATCAATAGCATCAATTATACAAAAATACATCTAGAGAGTCAGGACATCAAGCAGGTCGACTGTCAGAGCGATGGTGATTAGTTAGCGAGCACAGTGCCCATCTAGGCCAGGACAATTCTGCCAGCAGCCAGGGTCACTATTAGAAACAGCCTGGGACATGCAGGCCAGAGAAAGCAGGACCTCTGGGCACAATGTATGGCAGCAAACTGACCCCAACATCACTGCACCAAGCTGTGCTTCAGCTCCATTCTAAACTCTCTCTCAGGGAATGGGATTGTTCATCTTTCATTAAGCCATTTTATCTCACTTTCAGGGAAATACCTCCCATTCCCACTCACCGGACAGACTGCTCTGGAAACCTCCCTGTGCGTTCACGTATCGAGCCATCTCACAGGTCCTCTTTATAAGCTCTGGGAGGGATTTCCAGTGGGACATTTGCCCCAGTGACAATGGTGCTTTTTCCAGAATATGAAATATCCTGTAGTCAAAAAGAATCCAGAAGACACTAAAAGGATAATGATTTGTCAGATGCCAGCTCTTTATAAACCCTCTAAACAGACATAGGCACAAGTGCTCTCAATCCTTGCAAGAAGGAAATTTGAATCTTTGAAATCGTTCACTTAGTAATTATTTGTTTATGAAGTCCTCTGCCCTGATTTGAAAAGTGAAGCAAAAAAAAAATTTATAAGAATACATAAAATTTAAAAGAGACAAAATCTAGAGAAAAGGTAAAATAAAGGAGATAATATAAAATGAATTTTGAGTCTAAGAAACATACATTCCCCATTTGACACCTTCGAGTATAAGCTTCCTAACAGCCAAAGAAAGGAAAAATCGATCACACTGAAAATTTGCAGCTGTACTTTACATGTGTCGAAAACAAGAACTAGACCCATGCCTGTCACCACGCACTAAACTAAAGTCAAAATGGGTCAAAGTTATAAATATTAACACAGAAACACTAAATCTGCTGGAAGACAATGTAGGTAGAAACCTTGAAATACAGGAGTAGGTAGAAAGTGCATGAACAAAACTCAAACTTCACAGGTAATATTTCCCAGAACCAATAACTGGGATCTCATCTTATTAAAAAGTATTTGCATGTCAAAAGAAATCTCCAACAGAGTAAAAATAAAACCCATGACCTGAGAAAATAATCTTAGTCAACTGTCCCTAAGACAAAGGACCTCTGTCTAGAACATATAAAGAATTTTTAAAAGTCAGGCCCCTAATATTCATAGATCCAGTCCAGAAATGGGCATCTGAGATGAATACATACTTCTCAGGTGAAGAAAGAAATACAAATAGCAAATAAATATATGAAAAAATGTTCAGCATCACTGGTCATTCCAGAAAAGCAAATTAAACCACACTGAGATTCCATCTCACTCAGAAAGAATGCCCAGGATCCAGAAAATAACCAATAACAAATCCTATAGAGCCTGTGGGGAAAAAGGAAGTCTCCTGCACTATTGGTGGGAGTTCAGACTGGTGCAATCATTGTGGGGATTGGAAGTCTCATTTGATCCAGCAATTCTGCTTTAGGCATATTCCCAGAAGAACTAAAAACAATTTACCACAGGAATATATGTGACCCATGTTTATAGCAGCACAATTTGTAATAGCCAGATCTTAGAAACAACCTAAGTGTCCATCAACTGAGAAATGGATAAAAAAGTTGTGGTATTTTTATATAATGGAGTACTACTTGGCTATAAAGAGGGATCACATTGAAGCTTTTTTAGGTAAATCTATATTACTTGAGACCATACTCATAAGTGAAATAAATCAAATTCACATGTGTAAATTCCATATTGTGTCTCTAGTGTAAGAAACCAAAGAATAAATAAGATCCAAAATCTTCAATAAATATTGTGAAAGAATAATTAACTGTTCCAAGAAGAAAAATAACTCAGATAGGGAAAAGGAAAAAAGAAGGAAAGGGAAGGAAAAATATGTAAATTTGTATATGGACACTTAAGATAGCTAATTCTATTAGTTCTTGGAACAAAACAGTTAATACTCATAGGATTAGATCAAATTTGCAGGTCTATACCTGGTAATCTGAGTAACACTTTTTTTTTTTTTTTTTTTTTTTTTTTTTGTCTTTTTCCTTTTTATCGGTACCAGGGATCGAACTCATGACTGCCTGCTTGCAAGGCAGGTGCTTCTGAGTAACATTTTGAAGATAACTATGCAAAATAATAACCTTTGTTAAGTTCTTACCACCTTGTTTTGAAAGCTTATGCTGCTATTGTTTTGGGGGTTTTTGTTATTGTTGGTCGCTTTTATTTCTTGTTTTGTTTTTTTTGGGGGGTGCTTTGTTTTGTTTTGTTTTTTTCTCTTTAAAATAAGAGTTAAAAAATTTGCAGCCATAAAATACACATCCTCAAAATTTCTGGAGCATCATGGATCCCCTGAGAAGTGCCCCCCTGACAGTTAAGAATTCTGTCTGTGTAGTGACAAGCACTTCCATCACGTTATACCATGGCCTAAACAGGACCTAGATGTCTTGTGATTAAGCTGATGGTTAAACTTAAGGGAACTACTTAAAATACACTATTTAGATGCATTCTAATAGCAAAAAGTTAATCATCTTAATATAAATGAGCATCGTTCTGTTGCATTTATATAACACAGAATCCTCTGAGCAAAAGGGAGCAGCTGACATCAGGCTGGTGGCACAGTGCCGCGGGGCTTTCCATCCCTGAGGTGACTTACATGGTGGGGACCAGCTGGCGCTCACAGTCACCAGCAGAGGTGCTGTTCCCTGGAGAGGCATCAACTTTTAACAACTGAAAGAGCCTGAAACAGGGCTGGCTCAGCTGCTTCTGGATCTCCTGCCAGCCAGGATGTGCTTCAGGGTCTGCAGCCAGACTGTCTGTGTGCCCAGCAATGGCTTCCTGCAAACCATGATCCATCCAGGAAAAGAAGACACCGCTTGTCATAGATGAAGCCAGTTAAGTGTGGACACTTAAGAGCTATCAGTGCAGTCTCATTTATCAAGTATTCCACTCAAACCATGCTCCAGAGACCGCACCCCATGGGATGATGACTCCTCATAGCACAGGTCTGGACAGGTATGTTTACTCATGTTCAGTTATAGACACCAAATAAAACTCAGTAGGTAGGACCCACGTCACAAAGCCATCTGGGCCAGCTTGTCTCCCTGGGTAGCCCCAATGACCATTTCTCCTGATAACCACACTCTGAACAACCTCTCCCACAGCTTACCATGGCTGGGCTCTGCTTCCCCTTAACCCATAAAATTCAGTGAGGGTGACCTGTGGTGGCTCCCATCCTATGCTTCCTAAGCAGTGCTCTCTGGCTATAAAGCCCCCCTTCTGGCCTGTTTTGGGGGAGCCATGTGACAAGCCTAACTGCCCTGCTAGAAGCCCTGAACAGAGAGACCCTGAGGCTCAGTGGAATAGATGACCCAGTCCTCCTTAGCCCAGCTGGACATCAGAAGTCCAGCCCCAGGGCCATCCTACAGCAGCCACAGGAGCAGTACTAGAAAGAACAGCAGAAGAACCACCTGGCTGAGCCTTGCCAGCCCCACAGCCATGAGGGAGACAGAATGTGTCTGCTTCTGGTCTCTGGGCTTTGGGGTGTTTGTTAGGGAGAGAAATCATCATCAGATACACGGCACCTGGAAATATGCAGCATCTGCAGCAGATCTGTGGGTGCTGGCTGCATGTGGGCTGGGAGTCAGGCTGCGTAGACACAGTGCAGGCCAGCATGGGCATTCTACCAGCAAAGAGCTGGAATCCAGTACCAGGAAGGCACATATGGGACATGCTGTGGTTTTCCATGTCCCTGCCTGACTCGGAAGACACTTTTCTCCCTGCCTAGCACCCTCTCTAACTTCTTGCATCCAGACTCCTGTGCCTGGATTAAGGCTTATCTGCATCTTGGGGAGATAACCAGGGGCCAGGATCCTGTCACTTGTGTCTCTGCCCTCTCGGCTGGCACAGTGTCTTTGTGTTCCACTTCCTTGGGCAGCTACTGTGCAGTGCACAAGGGAAGAAGAATCAAGTGCACCCAGCTGTGCAGGTGTGACTGTCTCACTGTTCAACTCAGCTGTGACATCACATGATGGTTTCATTTCATGATGCATAAGAAAGATGTTTTAAAAATCAGAAACAGGTAATTCCTACAGGAAAAAAATGAATGACAAACAATACTGTAATTTTTAGTTCTTGGTAAGAAAAATGGGAGCCACACTTGACAAAGTACTAAACTATCCTAAACTATCTCAGCCAGGGACATGAGGAGAGCATGATTTTCACAGCCCAAGACCATGGAAGCAGGCAATGAACATTCTTGCAACCAGCTGACTGAGCCCCAAAGCTGTGCCTCCCCTTTTCTTCCTGCGTGGAGCAGGATGACATCGGGAACCAAAGGGACAGAGGTGGAGAGCATGCAGGGAAAGCCCAGCAGGCTTTGGCTGGGTGGGTGGCACTCTGCTCCCAAGAAGTAAAACTGAGTGACAGCTGTACTTCTGCCAGTCAGCTCCCTTCAGAATTGTGCCCAGCTATCAGGCCCTCCTTGTCAGGATCACAGGTTCGACTGTGGCACCTTCCAAGGGTTTAATGCTTGCCATGAGCCCCCTGGGTGCTCCGGGAGAGGTCAGAGGTGGGACACTTACAGCATTCTCCACTGGACCAAGTAGCCTGCTGAAAGCTCTGGTCCCGTTGAAGGAGGTTTGACTGCACAACAGTCCCCAGGGGATTCCCCAGATGCTGGAATTCCTGGGGGACATGGGATCCTCCTCAGACAAGCGTCCAAGCAGACAGGCAATGGTGGCATTCTTTTTCAGCACCTACAAGATGAACAAGCATGGACAGAAACAATATTCAGAGTGGCTCAGCCAAGCTACCCATGGATTCTCAGACCACAACAATAAAAACTAGACTGCAGCATGAAGTCTGTGGAAACTAACCCGTTGCTCTTTATTTTGCTAGCAGGACTCACACTGGGCAAAGCTAAATTTTGCATGAGCTTCTTCAGTGATTTATGAAAATTGTCTGAAATGTGATTTACCTTCTTTAACCCCCAAAAGAATGACTCTTTCCCTAGGTCTCCACAGTCAGGTCCACCCAGTGCAGAATCATTTGTCAAAGTCTCCAGATGTACAAGGATTCCTGCAAGATCAAGGACATAGTATTCCCTTCAGTTAGGCTTCTTGTTCACATCGGAATTTTATGCATGGACATGAATCAGCACACTGAGTTCTGTAAACATGCATTTCACTAAATTGGCCTGTTATCCCATATTTCATTACTGCCCTTAAAAACAAAAATGGAGAAGGTCACTGAGTTGCCATTTTAACCTTGGGTCTGTGGGTTTTTCATCACCAGACAGTTTAGCTTCTGCAGCAGCCCCCCCCCCTCCTGTCTTCTCTCTTCTCCCTAAGAAGATGCAAAGGCTCCAGCCCACCTAGATAAAAGTGCAAAACTGACTTTCTCAGGAGAGCACAGAAGGAAAAAGACACGCCAGAGTCAGGGAAGCTCAGGAAAGGGCTCTGGGTCCTCTCAGGAGGAACAAACTCTCTCTGCCAAGGAGTGTGGAGAGGGAAACAGAGCCCAAGGATTCCTTCATTCACAACACACTTGGTCCCTCTCCAGCCAGAGAACTGGGGCTGTGGGTGTGAATGGGACGGCTGAGCTCCAGCCCGAGGACGTCACCTGTCCCAGCCACGATGCATGCTGCAGTGAGCAGCAAGATGCACCCTGGATTGTGACAGCTGTTTGCATTCTGCTGTGGGATGTCACACATGGGACACGCCCAAACGCCCGTGGCACGATATAAACATGTAGGAAACACCAGCACGACCCAGCCCCTCGGGGACAACCTTGTCAGGAAGCCTTTCCTCAATATATGTCACATCTGCTCTGAGGAACCTAGTGACTGGTTTACCTTGGACGAAATCCAGATCCTGGGCTATCACACTCCTGAGGGCCCCGTCCAGCTGCAGCAGCCTCTCCAGCGCTGGCCACTGGGGCAGCTGGTGCAGCTCAGTTTGCAGCTTCTGCAGATGCTGGAGTCTGAGGGCAAAAGAAATGAGATGAAATGAATTGAAATGAAATAAAGAGAATTCAGTGCATCGGCTAGGGAAGAGAAACACCCACTGCTTGGGAAGTGTCTCCACAAACTGGTGTCCTCTAACCAGACTCCTGATGAGCTGTGATGTTTGAGTCAGCTGACCTGGCAATCTTTCAGGTACTGAAGGTGGACTTCACTGTGCTTTTTACCCTAGAATGGGAACGCATGTTCCCAGTGATGTGTAAAAGATGTGAAGTTTAGGATAAAGTTTCAGGTAAGAGCCGAGTGTGATTGTGCACACATGTAATCACAGCACTCAAGAGGCTGAGACAGGAGGATTGCTGCCAGTTCTGTGTCAGCCTGAATTGCATACTGAAACCCTGTCTAAAAACAAAAAAAAAAACAAAAAAAGTTCCAGGTAAGATTTGTTAAACCATCAGCCTTGAGCCTATAGTTATACTGGAGACTATGTTAGGACATAAAAGTTCTGAAAAGAGTTTCAAAACATTAGGATGTGTTGAAGGCAATAAGATTCACTATGCTGCCCATTCTGGTTTGACTATCATCTACTTTTGAAGTCCTGTAAGGTCTCCAATGTTTAGGTTTTATTGGTTTTGTTCTGTACTGTTTTGTTCAATTTTATTATACCTGATGATATGGGCAACTCTTTTTAAGATAGCAAGAGGCATTATGGTAACCATTGTTGATCACCTGGTATTCTGTTTTTACATCATGTACTATGTCCATCCTTCTGTTTTGACTGACTCTGTTTTGTTTTGTCACATTTGGTTTTATTCTCTTCAAAAAAAGTAATAAGAACTGTGGTAGTAATAAAACCCAAATTTTGTAATTGTTATTGTAAAAAAGAGACTAAAAGAAAGTGCTCTAAAGGATATAACTGCATGTATATTTAAGTGTGTAAGATAGAAAATCATATTACTAAGTTTTTGTTGGATCATTGAACAGAACCGTTTGCAATCTCACTGTTTGAATGTCCACTTTGTATGCTTTAATTTTGTAATTTGAACAACTATGTCTAAGATGACAATATGTAATCTATTAACTAGTGATTTCTTACTGTTTATTTTTTGAAATTCTGTATTACTTGTACCCTTCTACTGTTTTGTTTTGTTTTTTCTCTTTAAATAAAAAAAATTAAAAATTTTTAAATTTTAAAAAATTTTAAATTTTAAAAATTTTTTAGGATGGGGTAGAGGTGCTTCCAGGACCTTCCAGGATCAAAGGGTCCTAACCAGGGAAAATTAACAACAGGTGTAAGATTCCCCAGTGTCAGAAAAAGATGACCAGTCCCCTGCTTGACACGTAGCATCCCTGGAGTGTTAGGCTCACAGACCAGTGGTGTGGAAGACACAGAAGGAAGAAGACAGCATTTTTAAGATGTTTGCCTTGAAATCCAGGCAGCAAAGCCCCCAGGGGAAGACTCAGCACTCTCCGGGAGAGCTGCTCTGGCTCCCTGCGTGCACAGGGCTGGTGGGAGACAGGCGCTGAGGGTTCACTGCATCTCTTGACTGGGTGTGTGGAGCAGCAGGAAGTAACTTAGGAGAGGCTGGAAAGTAATTATGTCTGACAATGAGTGGAAACTCAAATGGAAGCAAGCATGGGAGCAAAGAGCCCCAGGGCCCATGCTGGGGGTGCCAGCATCATCTCAGAGCACTGAGAGTTCACCATGCATATGGCCACTGGGATAGCACTCAAGGCTCTGACCAAAGTGAAGAAAAACTGGCTCCATGGCCAGAATTAATAAAAGGGCTTGCAGGATCTTGACGGTGTATGTGAGGGGTTATCTGAAAACCCTACAAGAAAACCAGTGCATCCACACAAAGAAGAAGGCCAGAAAGATTATCTCTCACCTTCCTGTCGGCGGGATGCAATAGCCAACACTCAAAGTTTTTATATTTTTGAGACAGGGTTTCACTCTGCAGTTTAAGCCGGACTTGAGCTCACTTTGTAGCCCAGGCTGATTTTGAACTCTCAGCAATCCTCCTGCCTCAGCCTCCCACATGCTGGGTTTACAGGGGTACACCATCAGACCTGGCCCAACACCCAATTTAAAGGAGGAAAGGTTTATTTTGGTTCATGCCTACAGTTGTCCCTGGTTAGCTGGCTCTGAGATAGGAAAGACAAAGTGGAAGAGGCTAGCGGAGGAGAACTGCTCACCTCATGGTGCACAGGAAGCAGAAGAGAGGGAGGAACCAAGGAGGGAGATGGGCCCTTCCAGGCCACACGACCTGCCTCTTCTGACCAGCCCCAGCTCAAAAGGCACAGTCAGCTCTGGGTTCACCAGTGATTAATTAACTGATCTGTATGGCACCCCATGAGCCAATTACCTTCCAACAGCATCACCGCTAAATAGATGAGGATTCCAGGCACATTTCAGAGCCAAAGTATGCAAAGATGGAGGAGGGGGCTGGAGGGAGCTATCTGCAGAGGTCAGTGTAGAGCTAGGGCAGGGCTGGTGTTGAGGATTGTTATGGATAGAGAACAGGTGGTCAACTTACCACCAGGTGGATTACATCAGCATGCATCGAAAGAAGATGCTCCACCTGAGGAGGGTTTCCAGGATAAATAGGTGGAGAAGAAGGGAAGTGTTGAGAAGGGTTGAAGCTTTAAGGAGGCATTGTGGGTTCTCCTACAAGTTGCTGTCTGAGCTGTTGGTTCTCCTGGAGAAGCTTTGGTCTTCACATTGAGCATTGCTTCCTAGCTCCGGAGGGGAAGACATGTGCTGCTTCGTCTCCAGGATGAACTCGTCACGCTGCTTCCTGGCATGTACCCGACTGTGCTTGTCATCGGAGGAGCTCGGGGCCTCTGTGTCACTGAGGATGGTGGTGGTGCCTTCAGGATAGCCCTGCTCTTTGTTGTGAGTGTGACTTCTCAGCTTCAGCATAGAACCCTCATCCCACTAGCACAGCCCCTTCATCCTGCTGACATACACTTTCTGGCTTCCACCGCTGACCCTTGGATCTTCCCAGCACGGATCCGTAAAAGAGACTGGTGTGAGTTCTTCCTGTGGGCTCTGGGCCTTCCAGTTGGACTCATGGGAGGCATTTTCCTGAGCTCTGGATTTTTATCTGGACTCATGTGGGACATTGCTTTGGGGTTTAGGCCCTTGACTAAATAATCTATGTCTTTGGTGTTGTGGATAGATTTCCTGCATTTTCCTGTGTTAACTCGTGGTGACCTTTATAAAAATATTATAAACTCCACATCCTAATCCTAGTTGTTCTCTGTGTAGAACTCCTGAATACAGCAAGGATCATCCCTCATGAGGGGCACTGTTGCAAGGGGGTCCCTCTGCAACCCTCAACATAGCCTGATCATGCCAGCAAAGGACTCCTCCTCTAACGGGGAAGCCACAAGCCCACCGGACAGTCTCATTCCATTCCTGGAGCAGAACGGTGGTTCCACAACTAGAAAAATCTTCAAGATGGTCTAGAGACACCACCAACTAGAGGAGGAGCCCAGGGCCAGAAAGGAGCTAGAAGACCCAGGACTTGTGTGTCACCAAGACAGCCAGTGGGTAGCAGGGTTCCATACCCTGCAACAAATGTTGCTCCAAACAGAAGTGAAGATGCTGTTTCCAAAGGCTGATGGATTGCAGAATGCATGCAACAGGGGTTCAGGCAAAGCCAGTGCAAGAGACTCACACCCTCCCCCCCAAGTGTGCACAGATGTCATGTGGGAAGCAGGGAGAGCTCGGCTGTGTGGGATCCAGCGTGCAGGGTCATCTTTAGCTTCTCTGTCCCTGCCTGAGTCAAGAGCCAAAGGAGCTGCCCGAAGCTACATCCCTCCTTGGGTCTGCACTGGAGAGCAGGCAGTCCCTGGAGTACACATGGAGTCACATGCAGTCATCCGATTCCACTGCCACAGTCCATGGACAGTTAGTGCTCGTGCAGCCCAGGATTTCAAATCAGCCCTCTCGAAATGCAGCCGAGGAGACTTACTGTTTGTTCTACAGTACATCCCAAAAAGTCATTGTTCAGAGTTCACAGCTACAGCCACTTGAGAACTTTTCTTCTGGACCTGACTAATAATTGTTTGTGAAAATCCCTGCAATTTCACAGAAACCACAAACATCCTCTGTAATGGGAGAAGGGGCAGGAGATTTGCAAGTGGCCAATCTGAGAGCATTATTCAGGGATCCTTGTTGCTGATTGGCTGCTGCCCTGTAACCCATCTCTACCATTGCACCAAGATTCCCACATAACAAGGAGCTGCTGTACCCCCTGTATATCTGGGATCTCTGCTTTGTTCTTCTTAAAGCCTTAAGGTCCCTGTGATGCCATCAAAACACCCTGCACTTCTAATGCTATTAATGCAGTGTATTATTAACTTAAATTACATAGCCACAGGAGACACAGCATGGTTAGGGTTTAAACTATAAAAATAGGCATCTATGGGCCTTTTTCTGACCATTTCTCAAATTCACAGCTTTTCACAATTTTCAGGTACTATCAGAATGTAAACCCTGTGAATTTTGGATGTTCACTATATTCCAAGAGGAGCTTTCACTTTTGGAGCATGATAAACGATTCAAGTTACTACAAACAGTTAAGCCGGTTGAGGATAAATATCCAGTTCTGTGACATAATTGACCTTTTTGCGGAACTAATTCTGCTTATTTTAAAAATGAAGAAACCACAGGTCCTATCTTTTCCCACCTCTGGACTGTTGCAGGACCTATGCATGTATCTCAGTAACATGTACTGTTTAATTAGGAGAACAAGCAGAGGATCTTACCCACTGTTGCTTCTAAGTGTGTGTGTACATCTTAAAAACAAACGCCAAAGGTATAAACCTGAAAATTCAGGAAAAGGCCACTTTCTCAAGCACCATGCTCCCATTCCACTGTTTCAGACCTCTGAATCAGTGCCTGGATCCCTGCAGAGGCCACTCCTGATGCTGACCCACAGTGGCTTCCTGTGACCACCCAGGAACTCGCTGTCTAACAGGAGCTTTATAGAAGTTGTTTCTGGCAGTGCTATTGTGAGTTCTGGCCAACACAGAGCTGCCTGGGTAAGTGAATGGAAGGGGAAAGTGCCTTACATCCGTGGAGGGCCGTGGCTGTCCTTGGGGCTGTCCACTGCCATAGCTTCGCTCAGGAGGTGCAGTCCAATGTGCAAGGCTTCTGCCACATTCCATGGCAAGCCCCCCTCTTCATATGTGTCCCTGAGGACTTGCAAGTTCTGGCCCATGCCTGTGAACACCTTCTGAGGCAGGCCACTCTGCTGCCACTGGTCCCACACCTGCAAATTTAGAAACAAAGATGACCATTCCTAACAACCTCAGAAATCATGTGAATAGCTAAAAAATGTGCAATTGGCCATTCTGCATGACAGCCAGTTTTTAAACTTTGCTGGAACACTGAAAGGCCTGTTAACAACATACTGTGGTTTCCTTTCTCCTAGAAAAGGTAAGGCTACAAATTGCAACAATGGGTAGACCCAGCCCTCTTATCAGCCTTCTCCTTTCCTTCCTCTCTTCACAGAACAGGAAGAGGAGAAAGCAAGAGCATCCATTTGTGACAAGCTGAGATTTAATGTGGAAACATACTGAGTGCACATGTGACGGTGTTCTTTAGCACAAAGGGGATCATTACTGCACGGTCACCGAGTACCGCCCTGTGACATGAGGGGAAATGATGGCATGCAGTGGACTGCTATCAGGGCTCCTCTTCCACGTCACTACAGAGTAGCTCTCTGATGCCAGCGGATGGCACAGGGATGTGTGTGAGGCACAGGGAAGGGTGCTCACTGTTCACTAACCACACATGTAGTGGCCCAGATGAAGCATGAAGCACAGGCCCCTGGCTACTTTGATTCTGGTCACCCCAAAATCACCCATGATTGATTTGGTGCCAAATGAGTTTAGGGCCACAGGCTGTATTTTTATTGAGGGTATTTGACCCACCATTTGGGATTCCAACCTTTATTGGTCACACGTATAAAGAAGGATGAAAGCTTTTTCAGCTTTTGTATTCTTTGAGAGAAAACCAGAAGTGAAAACTATCACTTGATAGCATGGGGGTGACTAGTTAGGGAAGCTCTGCTTCATAGTCTTTAAAAATGTCCCCCCAAAACAGAGATGTGAGCTGGCCAGGACCCTGAGGCTTTGTGGTCCATCAGCCACAAACTGGTCAGTACTAGCCTCACAGTGGCACCTCTGCCAAAAGACCCTCAACCATAATCTCCACATTTGCCTGGATTTCTCAGCATCCCAGTGCTGAGGTTGTGGGCACCCCAGGGAGAAGCATGTACCCCCACTGGGATGCAGGGGCTCCTTGTCCTGAGGAGAAGTTTCCATCAGTGATGAGCCATGCACACTGCTTGCCCCAGAGGAGCCTTGGACCCGGGCAGCATCTGTTTGTAGAGTTGAAGCCGGCTGACCACCTGAACGAGGTAGTCTTTGGCTGCTGACTACTTGGGCTGGTGGGCTCCACCATGGCCTTCTCACTCAGCTTCTTCCCTGGACAAGTTGGACAGGACAGAGCTCACCATTCGCTCTAAATTGCACTCTGTGGGAAACTGGCCATGATATTTAAAACAAACAAACAAACAAAAAAAAGTCTTTTCAGATCTAAAGCGTTTTTCCCTAGAATGCTTCTCTTCTAAACATAATTCATGCAGTTAAGGAAGTTAGTAACCAGGTAGTTAAGCAGAAGGTTGGTCCTTGTCTCAGGACTGCCCAGAAGTGGTGGGAATCAGTTCCTCCCCAGGTCTCTCAAATGTGCTCCGCTGGGAACATTTTCTCTTCTAATTATCAAAAGGGTCAAAGCAGTAGGACTCACACTGGAGCCTGGATCAGAAACTGTTTTATGCACCGAGCCTCTTCACATCTATCTGCAGCTGCTCTGTAAATCTGTGTCTGCCTTAGACCTCGCACCCCCCACACAGGCCTGGAACAGTTGTGGCGTCCTCTTTCAGAAGGGATGTGTGCAAACATTTGTGACCCCCAGAGTTTCTAATCTGAGATCCTAACCCCCGGATGGTCCTCTGCAGGCCGGAAAACTGCTCCCAGGTGTGGCACTCAGGCAATCAGATGTGAAAGACAGGGGAACTTGCTCACTGCTGGCTTAGCCTAAGGACACAGAGGAGACTGGCTGTGAACCAGAAAGTCACCATCAGCAGACACTGATCTCTGCAGCCTTGATCTTAGACTTCTGGCCTCCAGAACCATGAGGAAGAAATTCCCCTTGCACAAGCCACCCAGGCCACATAACTCATTACATCCAATGCCAAGTGAACTTGGCTGAACAGGCAGAAAGCTACAGTGTTCTGTCTGTCAGCTCTGCAGTTTCCTTTAGGATCTAGATGAAAATCCTTCACGTGTCACTATCAAAACCACAGGGTCTCGAGTTTTGTTAGAAAGGAAGGTCCCAACCAGCCCACACATTCAAAATCTGGGAAATCTGGTGCATGGACATTAGGAACCCAATCAGAGAGGTCAGCAATGATGGGGACAGAGGCTGAGGGGACCATGGGGACTTTGCAGGGGACATAGGGTCAGGTAGCCCATTTTCTAAGGGATAGGACAGAGAACAGAAGTAAAGAGGACCCCACCAGAGCCCAGGGAAGCCTTGCTGAGCACCCTGGGGAAATCTAGGCAGGGGAAAGGCAGGTGCAGGGCAGGACATGGGGCATCCAGGGACCTGAGCAGGACCCAGGCAGCAAGGGGATGTTCCGGGGTGGGAAGGTGGGGAATGTGCTCCCTGAGTCTCCTGCACCCTCATCCCCAGCTCCCACAACTGTATCACTGTGTCACGCTGCCCAGCAGTGAGATCTGAGGGCCCAGACAGAATGAAGGTACTCATCAGTCCACTGCACACAGGAGGTTACCTGGACTACCAAGTGGACCCTGGGCATCTGGTGGGCCCTATGTGGGGAAAAGACACAAAACAGTCAGCAGTGGAGACTGAGACATGCAAAGGATGGACCACCAGCACTGGCCTCACTGATGGAGCCATCCGTGAGCTGGGTGGCCATCACCATCAGCAAGTAACATGGGGCCCACCAGGACCTGGGTAAAGAACAGTGAACTGAGGGCAACTGTGCCCCCTAAATATGCCTCATTGGCAGAGGAGCATTTGGAGGTAAAATAAAATAAAAGTAAGAGACAGTGGATGTTGGGAAAGCTCCTTACCTCCTCCTGACTGCCTAAAAGAATTGCACACATGAGTCTTTATGTAAAGAAGTTAACATTACCAAAATAGGTTTCCATTTGTACACGTGACCCCAGTCTAGGAGAGACTCAGTCTCCCAGAGCACTCGGACACCTGAGAGGCCCTTCTCCTGCTACAGAGACGACTTTAACTTACCAGACACGCGCATCCCTCGCCTGGCCACTATCTGCCCCCCTACCCAGAGCACTTTTGCTTTTGGTTAGCTGAAGATGGTACAAATCCCCATCACCCAGCTGCCTCCTGGAGCTGTGTGTTTCTCTGTGAGCTCTGAGCAGGCCTCTGTAATTTAATCTGGGATTCTCTTATTTACCTTTTCCCAGTTTAATCTTTGGGCCCAGCCATGGAAATTAGAAGGCAAAGAAATATTCTCCCTTGCAGAAGGAATGCAGCCCTCCAGACCCTTTGAATTCAGCTCAGGGAGACCCCTTTTGGACAACTGGCCTCCAGAACTGAATGACAGTTCATTTGGGTCTTCTTCACCACTGTCTCAGTGGTGATTTGTTACAGCAGCCCTGAGAGGCTCATACACACCACACAGTGTGGATACACAGTGGAAGTTCTCAGTTCTTCCCTTTTAATTCTAATCTGGAAGTGTTTGCCATTCCAAGGAAAAGGGGTTACCCAGTGTAATGGTTGATACATTGTATCAACATGAGAAGTCAGAACCTTAACTAAGTAACTCCACAGTTCTACATCCTAAGGTGTAGCAGACATCCCCTAAGCCATCTGTTTACACTTTAGGATGTTTTCACCAAGGATTCATTGGTCAACTGGAGAAGTTTATAAGTTTAAGTGACTGATCAGGGGGCAGGATCCTCACTTTGTTAACATCCTGACCCAGTACAAGAGGAGGGCACGGAGATGGTGTGATTGCCACACCCACTCCAGGGTCAGAAGCCTGCAAATGATCTAAAGGAGGAAAAGAGAATTATTCTCCCCCTTTTTTGCTCTTGTTAATTTTGCTGTCTTCTGTCACTTTGAAGTGTTGCCCCTGTGCCATGCCACCCTGCCTTGGAGCCAGCTGATTACAGATGGAAACACCCACAAATTGTGAGCTAAATAAATCTTTCCTCTCTTAATTTGTGGTATGTGGTATTTCATCTCAGCAACTAGAGAGAACTAACCAAAACACATAGATTGACTTGACTGTGCGCTAACATAATCAGAATATTGGCTTATAAACATGGAGAGAATTGGAGGGGTTGTGCCAGCTGGAGCTCCACACCTCCTCCATGACAGCTGTGAGAAATGCTGAGTCACAAATCTCAGGCCCTGACAGAAGTACATTGCATTAGGTGGGAGACAAGAAGCCTACAGCAGCAGGGCAGAAAACGTTTTTCAACACCACATCAGTGCCCCAAGGCTTCTAGCTGCCTCTCCTCCAGGCCACCTGGGTACCTGGAAACAGACCAGGAGCAGGATCTGTGTCAGGGATGAAACTCAGTAGACTGTACAATGCCAGCCACTGCATCTGCATATGTAAAGTGCTGTGTTAGTCCACTTTCTGTTGCTATTAAAAAATTCCAGAGGCAAGGAAATTTATAAAGAATAGAGGTCTACTAAGCTCATGGTTCTGGGGAGCCCAACAGCATGGCACTGGCATCTGCTCCACATCTAGTGAGATTATTGTGCTGTACCGTACTGTGGTAGAAGACATCAGAGGGCAAGATGGGGCTGGGGTGCCAACATGAGTCTCCTTTCCTGTCCTTATAAATCCACTTGTGCTGCCATGGGCAGGAATACTCTCCTGACTTCGTGTAATCTTAGTAGCCCCCCACAGGTTCACCTCCAAATGCTGTCACATAGCTCTTCAGGGACTGGCTTTCCCACACGTGACCCACAGCAAGTGCTGCTGGCACAGTACACTCACAAGGTCAGGGTCACTCATGTAAAAGGAAGCAAAATCCACATCCCAATCATGCAGACCAGAGGCAAGGGAGAAGTCTTCTCTAAACACTGAGTGGTACTCGAGAAAAGCCCTGAGCCTGGAAGCAGAGCCTGGAGGAAAGTTACTGAACCTGGGCTGCAGGTGTGGGGTCTTGCACCAACATCTGCAGAGCAAAAGAGCCCGCAGGCAGCTGTGGTCTGCTGGTGGCAGCTTTCTCAGAGCATCCCCAGTGCAGTGTGAACCAGATCGTGCAGGCCAGGAAGTCTAACCCTTTTCTTCTGTCTGCCTGGTTTGGGGCAGTGTGGCTCCACTCTGGAAAACCCAGCTGGCCTTCACTATCCATCCCTCCTCCTTCCCTGAGACAGCTGTCTCTTTGCCCAGAGAGTCACCTGCTCATGCCCTACATGCTACTTCCAGAGCACCAGTTTCTTCCTGGATTCCTACCGACCCTACCTGGCTCAAGGACCTCTCAAGCCAACCTGAGCTGGCTCCGCCCAGTCCTGGACCCCAGAGCAATTGAGCATCATAGGGCTTAAACTTACTCTGAGTGGTGGGTGGAGTCACAAGGGAGGGAGACAGAGACAGCCAGGCCCGCTGTGCCTGAGAAGCCTATTCTGTGGTAGGAGGGTGCCCTGTCTGGCTACTAGCTCCCAGTGCCACTGCCCAGCTGTCCAGAGAACCATACAGGGGACCCTCTATTTCCACTAACCATAGGCCCCGGATCTGCTGAGGGTCCCAAGATCTGCACATGCTCAGGTCTCCTGCTGTGATGTCTGCTGTGGCTGCACACATCTTCCTACACCTCTAGATGTACCAAGTACTGCATACAACACCAGTGCCCTACACACTGTCATAGACAATGGTACATAGCTCCAAAGCTTAGTTCTTTCCATGATTCAGTTGCAACCAGAATCTTGGGACAGATAATTAAGCTTGTGAACCAAGGCACCATGTATAAGGATTAGGGAAAATGATGAGTGGAAAATCCGTTTGTGTTTCATACAGATGCAGTTTGCTTGATCTTGTGTTTTTGATCTGCAGCTGTGGAGCTGAGAGCTGGTGGTCCCATGCAGCAATCCTACAGGAAAGGCCCCAGGGTGGGAGAAGCAATCAAGCATACCCACCTCCTGAAGCTCTTCTGAATAATTCAGGATTCGCTCTGCTTGAAGATCATTGAAACCGAACTGCAATTTGAGGTCACTCCGTACTTTCTGCGGGTCCCATACCAGGTTGTGCAGGGGAAGGTGATAAACTGACTCTGCAACAGCAAAACAAGTCATATCGTTGGCTCCTGGGATCATGTGATGTGTCTAGAGTGACTCAGAAAATAATGTCCTTTAACCACTACAGAAAAAGCAAATGAAGACAAAATACTATTTGGGCTTCAAATAGCAACACGGAATTATTTTTCTGTACCAGAGATTGAACTCAGGACCCGTCAGTTGCAGGCAGATGCTTTTGCCACTGAGCTAAATCCCCAGCAAGAACAAGAAACTCGTAAGCTAATGTACCTCTCTCCTGTGGTCTGCAGGAAGTCCAGCCCAGGCCCCAGTGGACACCAGAAACCTCAGATAGTGCAAACCCTTCACATGGGGGGGGGTGCCCCCTACACACACCTGTATCAAACTTAAACTCAATTAGGCACATTGATTGTAAACAACAGTAAAGATATATTGCAAAAAAAAAAAAAAACTGTCAGATTTCCCAATTTTTGTTTTTGGAGGCCATTATTAAGTAAAATAAATATCATTTTGATGCAACACTAAGTGTTGTAGTCAGGGGTTGTGCATAAAACAATTAGAATCACGACATGGAATTTATAATATTGTGTTATGATGGTCACCCAGAGTTAACATGAGAAACTGCAGGAAATCTATCTGCAGTAGCAAAGACATAGAATATTTAGAATAATTAGTCAAAGGCCTAAATCCCACAGCAATGTCCCATATGAGTCTAGATGAAAACTCAGAGCTCATGACAATGCCTCCCAGAAGTCCAACTGGAGGTCCAGAGCCGAAAAGAAGGACTCACACCAGTCTTACAGATCCATCCTGGGAAGGCCCAAAGGTCAGTGGTGGAAGTCAGAAAGTCCATGCCAGCAGGGTGAAGGAGCTGTGCTGGTAGGTTGAGGATTCTACACTGGAGCCTAGCACTCATAACAAAACCCAGGGCTTTCCTGAGAAGCATAATAGCCATCCTCAGTGACACAGAGGCCCCAAGCTCCTTCAACAGTAAGCACAGTTGAGTACTTGCATGGAAGCCAACATGACAAGTTCATTCTGGAGACCAAGCAGCACATGTGTTCACCTCCAGAGCCAGGAAGCAATGCTCAGTGTGAGGACCAGAGCTGCTCCAGGAAAACCTAATAGCTCAAAAAGCAACATGTAGGAGAACCCTTAAATGCCTCAATGCCCCAAGTCATAGCTTCTCCTTCTCCATATTTCTATTTATGCTTGCAACCTTCCTCAGGTGGGCCATCTACGCTCAGCGCAATGCTGATGTAATCCAGCTGGTGGTAAGTTGGCCACGAGTTCTTAATCCATAACACTAGGGTTGCACCACAGAGGCTGTGCTAACCAAGAGGACTCCTAAGTGACTGACAGCCAAGTACAGGCAGCATGCTGCCCCAGACAAAGGGATGGCTACACCCAGCTGGAAAACAGTAGGGGCTAAGAGGGTTCTCATGCAAATTAAAGCTGAATGATTGTTCACCTCTGAAATTTCCTACTTAATATCTTTGGGACTGAAGCTGCAAAAGAGTATAACCATAGATTTCAGGAGGAATCCTGGGCTTGATCCAAAGAGTGTGGTTAGATATCACAGGCTCACTGGGGTAAGAGGTTACAAAGCTTCTTCACAGTTATTGGAAAGCCTATGTCAGTAGCCTTACAAGAGTCAAAACACTGGGCCTAATGATTTCACTTCTGAAAATCTATCTCAAGAAACTTAATCATATAACTGAACAAAACTTAATGTACAACAACATCATCATATTGATTTTATGCTGATTAAGTATTTAAACCAACTTGGCATTTAGAAACAGGGGAAAGAACAAAATCACAGTATATTCACAACACAAAACACTATGGAGCTGGAAAACTATATTTAGAAGAGTTATTTAAAGTCATAAGATAAAGTCCCTCTGGTATCTTATTAAGGTTTGAAACAGAAGAGCTATGCAAATTCTCCAGCAACACCATTTTTAGAAACACACAAAAATATAACCTGAAGACAGGAGTGGGAAGGGTCATCTAGCCAGCATGCTTCAGAAGAATTGTTACCAACAAAGAAAGAAACTGGGGCCTCCTAGAAGAAGCAAAAAAGATGGGAAGAAGAAGCAACAACAAAAAGTCCCCAGGTCCTAACCCTGAGGACATTGATCCAGGACAGGTAAATACAAAGGAGAATGAGAATAGCAAACATGCAATATCAGACACAGTGCCAGTGGACGAAAAAAGATATATTCGGGACATCATAGATGAGTTCAAAAGTGAAATATTTAGCCAAATAAAGAAAGATATAAGAAGATTAATAAAAGAGATACTAAGCACCCCTTAAGCAGACACAGAGGGAAGAAGGGAGGAACTCAAACAAAGGAGAGAACCAATTGATGAAGAATATAAAAAAAAATAGAATACATGAAGCAGATTCAAAGAAATCACCAGGAAATTAAAAACTCTATGGAAAGATGGCAAATCATCTTGAAAGAAACTAAGGATAGATTATCCAAACTGGAGGACAATTTTGCAATGTGGGATTACGAAAGGGAAAATTTTTTAGACTTTTTTTTTTTTTTTTTTGGTATTTTTACCGGTACCAGGGATCAAACTTACGATCACAGGCTTTCAAGGCAGGCACTTATGCCACTGAGCTAAATCTCCAGCCCAAAAGGGAAAACTTTTTAAAAATAACAAGGAAACAAGCAGTAACAATACAAAGGCTAGAAGGCAACAAAAGTATCTATAACTTGAGAATAAAGAAGGTGAATGAAGAAGCTGGGGTACAAAGGAACTACAAAGGTTATTCACAGAAATAATTAAAGAAAACTTGCCAAACATAGGAAAATGAAATGATATTCTGATTTATGAGGCATACAGAACTCCATCCACCTACAACCAAAACAGAGCTACACCCAGGCATATACAATCAAGGTCCCAGAAATTCAATATAAGAACAGAATATTAAAAGCTGTTAGAGACAAGAAGCAAATCACCTATAAAGGACGGCCCATCAGAATAACAGCAGACTTCTGAACAAACACCATCAAGTCAAGAAGAGTCTGGAGCAAAATATTCCAAGCCTTGAAAGAAAATAACCTCCAGCCCAGATTTATATACCCTGATAATCTGTCTCTAGAAATTAATGGAGAAACAAGATGCTTCCAAGACAAAGAAAGACTTGTGAAATTTGCAACCACCAATCCAACTCCACAGAGAGTATTGCAGGGCATTCTAGAGAGAGAGAAAAGTACTAGGATTCCAGGAACAGTGACAAAGAGGCCTCAATGAACAGAACAGAAAACAGAATGAAGAAGATAAGCAGACAACTGATGGCAAAAACAGCATAACAGAAATGAGGCAGAGAAGATTTCATTCAAAACTGATATGATTGATAGTATCAAGTCTGAGAGAAAAGGCAACTATAACTGACTCTATGTTACACATTCTGGTTTGGTAACTGCCAGTTCTTGAAGTTCTATACTATATACAAAGTCGTGTTTTTATTAATACTGTTATGTACTGATATATTAATTATACTATATCTGATGATATAGCCAATTCTATTGGAGATAACAAGAGACAACACAGGAACCATGGTAGAACTCTTCAGACAATGGTCTTATATGTTTATTTTGTTTCATGTGTTTATAGGAATATGTTTTGTTTGGTCTTGCTTTGTTTTGTTTCTCCCTCTAATGTAGAAAGGATAAAAATACATGTTAAGTCTCATGCATATGTAGAATCTATAAACACTTTATGAGAACTAATCTTATGACACACAATGAAATGAACAGATACTTTGAAGAAAAAGTGACATTAAATACACAGTGCTTATCTTGTGGTGTCATAATGTGAAACCCAGCAATAGTATTACTCTTTGTTCAGAGTGATATTAGCCTGCTTGGGTTTATTCAATCTCAACATAATTGAAGATATGGATAACTGCATGTATGTTTAAGTGTATAGGATTGATAACAATATTTCTAAGTTTTTGTTGGATAGTTGAACAGAACTGGTTGTAATCTCACTGTTTGAATCCCCACTTTATATGTTCCACTGTAGTATCCTGAGTAACTATTTGTAAGAAGACAATCTGTAATCATCAGCTAGTGATTTCTTACCATTTAGTTTTTTTCTTTGAAATTATGTATTATTTCTACCCATTTTCTGTCTTGTTTATTCTTTCTTTAAATTAATTTTTTTAAAAAACACACTATAGTACCCAGTGCTGATCACAGAGTGTCATGATGTGAAATCCAGCAATACTATTATTCTTTGTTCAGAATGAGTTTAACCTGCTTTAGTTTGTTTAATCTAAACATAAATGAAGATATGGATAACTGCATGTATGTTTAAGTGTATAGGATTGACAACCATGTTACTAAGTTTTTGTTGGGCAGTTGAACAGAACTATTTGCAGTCTCGCTGTTTGAATTCCCACTTTACATGTTCCATTTTTGCATCTTGAACAACTATTTGTAAGATGACATTATATAAACATCAACTAGTGATTTCTTACTGTTTATTTTTTTCTCTAAGCATATGTATTATTTCTACCTGTTTTGTTTAGCCTTTCTTTAAATAAAAATTATATATACTGAAAACTCCCAAGTTTGCATAAACCTCTGTGGAGCACAGCCCAGCACCACAAACACAGCAGCAGCTAAACTCTAACAGGCACTTCACTGAAAACCCGCTGCCAGACCATCTCACATCGCAATGTAAACCCACTCAGACACACAGTAGCCCCTGTGAAATCATGTCCATGTGCATGGCCTCATATGACCCATGTAATGAATGTACAATTGTGACTTTCACTAAATAAATCAATATAAAAATAAAAGTTGGTATCAAGTTGAAGGTGAAATCAAGAAGCCATTAAAGTGGGATGTGCTGGTTAAGGCTGATGGTCAAGGTGATCGGATAAAGAGATTCCTGGTCCTGGCCACTCTTTTCTGGTCTTCCCTGTTTTCTGTTTTCTGGATGCTGTGGGATAGGCAGCTTTGCCCTGTCCCACCCTCTAGAATGCTCCTGCCTCAGAGCCAGCAATCATAGACTGAATGTTGGAAAACTCTCTGCTATGGTTTGTGCTTGGTGTTCCCCAAAGCCTCATGCAACCATGGAGGCAGCTGAATCTAGCATTTGTGATTGGCTCATTGTCTAGTGCAGGGATTGGCAATGTGAGTGCTGCACCCACCAAGGGGCAGAGCAAGTACACAGGGAAACAGCAGGAAGAAAGCGTGTGTCTCTCTCTTCCTGGTTGGTGCTTGCTGTTTATGGCGTCCTTGCCATGCCACTTGGAGTCAATTGAATATGGACTGAATCCTCTAACCTGTACAAAATAAACTTTCCCTTCCCTAACTTTGGGTACCAGGTATTTTGTCTCAGCAACAAGAGAAAAGTAACTAAGACATTCTCCTCCCTTAACTTTCAGGTGTCAAATGCTTGATCTCAGCAGTAGGAAGGAGATAAGGTGAATCCCCAGAGTACGAGACTCCTATCTCCCAGTCCACTTATTTCTGTGGAACATTATAGAGGGGAAGGTTAGTTTCTTCAGTTAAAATACATGCACACTGCACATCTAGGAGCTGTCAGGTCCCCATCAGGGAGATGTTGTAATTACCCATCTTGAGCAAAGAGAAAGCAGACAGTCTTCTAGATTGCACTAGGATTCTGCTCCCTCAGTTGAGCTAATTCCCAAGACTGAGTCATAACTGTCAATCTCTCCCACTCTCAGAATGTTCTATAGTTATTCATGGAGTGCCAGAAAGGCAAAGAAAATCTAATAAATCATTTTATTAATAGCTTCAAAAATATAAAATCATTCTTAAAAATAGTGAAATTGAACCTTGATTCTGAGACTCATGCCTGAATGACAGAACGTTAGAATCCATGAATGAATGAGTTCAGGGGGGTCATGATCAACAGCGCAGCTTAGCCCTCCCCTGCACACAGTATCATCAGTGCCTTGGACAAAAGGTTTTCCTGGAGCCCAGAGGAAGGAAGATAAGGTGCAGGATCTCCAGAGTCTGTTTAAAGCAGTACCCTCAGTGCTGACTTGCTGGCAGTAGAGAGAAGGGGGCTCACCTTACTCACATAGTTATAGTAAGGATACCACCACATGGAAGATAAATGGACTGCTATAATTTGCATGGCTTATGAAACCCTGAGCTTCCCTCTGAGTCCCCCAAAGTTCTCCCAATGAGTTCTTGAGGTCACCAAGAAGATGTCATCTGTCTGCCTCCGAGTTTGCTATGGAGATGAGAATTGGTCATTCCTGCTGGGACCCAAACAGCTGAGCTGATCAGTGTGGCCCTACTACAGAGCCCACGAAGACAACCTTCCACTCCAGGGTCTCCCTGGGCTGAGTCACAGCCAGCAGCAGGAATTTGGGGTGATAGAGGCACCCCGTTAGGTTGCTCCATGCATTGGGATAGCCTTGTGGCATCTCTGCAGAGTGATCACTCACAGAACTCCGGAGACTGTGCTTTTGGAAATCAGCAGCCCATGAGGGCCTCAAGTCCGGGCATCTGTGCTCCAGGGCTGCCTGTGTCCCGTGAAACCTCACCTGCTCTACCAGGTGGGATCTGGCTTAAAGTGCCCTTTCTAGATCATCTCCTGCACCCAACTGCACCCAACTGCACCCGGCACTCTTGGTCTCCGCAGGGCCCACACACCATGCTCCCTTCCCTTTTCCTAGAAATGCTACAGGTCTCTTTGATGAACTGGGATTCATCCTTCAAAACTCCAACGGAAGCGTTTCCTGAGGAAGCTGCCAGACCCCTCCCCTTGGCTTTGCCTTCCAATTTTTCTGTATCTGGAAATCAACCTCTTCACTAAGCCTGACTTTCCCAACAGGCAAGAGCCAAACCTTATTCAGCTGTGAATTCCCACTCTTTGATCATAGAATGTGTCCATGAGTATCTACTGAGGAGGAGATGGACAAACAGATGGAGTCAGTGGGTGGATGTATTAAGGAACAGGTTAATAGATGGATGGTGGGAGAATGAACTGATGAATGGATGGATGGGTGAGTAGATGTCTCTGCAGATGGGCAGACAGATGACTGGATGGAATGTTAGAAAATTGTCCATTTTTCTCTCATTTTGTTTCCCTTAGGAAAACAGATAAAAATTTAAAGGAGAGAGAGAAAGAAGGGAATTAAAGTAAAATAACCAGGCCTAGGTGACAATTTAAGAAATAATATTCTAGGTCAAGAAAAGAATTTTTTCATGGCAGAGCACTTAGGTAGTATGCATAGTACCCAGATCCATCACCAGCAGGGCAGCAAAGAGAGAGAGCAAGGGGGAAGGGAGAAGAAGGGGAAGGAAGGAAGGGACAAGGGAGGGAGGGCGGCGCACCCTAGGTGACCCACCCCTGCTCCTCTTTCAGGCAGCGGGTGGGTTAAACTCACATCCTTTCCTTCTCTGACCACCTTTGCTGTTCTTCATGTATTTCATCATGCAGAGAGGGAGGGTGACATTGCAGAGCCAAATATTGGTCCAGGCTCCGAAGACATTGAGTCAAGAGTTTTCAGATACCTTACTTTTTAATTAAAGATGTCATTTCATCAGTGAGACCTGAGGGGCTGCAGCAGGGGCAGGAAGTCACCATCCATCTGTCATGATCTCTGGGGTGTCCTCCTGCCTCCACCATCCTTAACTAACAGGAGCAGCTCTGGCCTGTGTGAGATGTTGTAAGTGACCAGATTCTGTGAGCAGCACATCCAGCTCTGTGCTGCTGTCACTAACGTGAAGGCAGGGACATCCATGACCCAGCAGTAACCCTGGGGGCATACCTGTGGCCGTTCCTCTGGGCTGCTGCAGGGAAGCCAGTGCCGAGATGGTCACATTCAGCAGGACTTCAGACACCTGGGAGAGTGTGGTGCTGAGCAGATCTAACTTGTGCAGAGACGCTACAGAGCTGGAAGTGAAACAAAACCAAATTAGTGAGTCGCTCAGTGGTGGCCAGACAGAAGCACGGGCTCAGGTCCACACGTGTCCCAGGGACTCAGCTCCGGCCTGGCCATGACATGGGGCTGGTGTTCACATGTCTGCATTCCTGGTGGCTACAAGGGACTCTGACTCCCTGGGGGACACCAGGCACAGGGTGCAGTCCCTGCCTCCAGACACCTGAGAAGTGGACTTTGCCGTGGGCCTGCCCAGGTGCTGCTCTCGTTCCCTTGGTCCTGGCTTAGGTGAAACCTTAGAGGAAGTGACGAGCCCAGACAGGCCATCAGTGCTACTGCCATGCAAGGGCAAACATCCACCAAGTCCAGAGAGTCAGTCCAGTGCCTGGGGGGAGCTAGCTGGGGTGACAAGTGTTCACCCAGCCCTCACACCATTTCAGTCCATGGATTGAGTATCAGGGAGCAGTCTGTGCTTTGCAAACTCTCCCACAGATTAAGGGGCTTTGGGGGAAGGGGAGTCCACACATGTGTGGTATCCTTATATTCATTAAGTATTCATATTTTATTTTACAAATAGCTGTACTTTAACTTATAGGTCAGAAAGTACATTTGTCTGGAATAGGGCTACGTTTACATTTCAGCAACACAAGACACACAGGATCACATGGCGCGGCTCAAAAACACAATTTCCTTGCAGTCTCTCACTAAGGAAGATCTCTCATGGGGTATTCGTGTCCCGAAGAAAACCTGAGACTGCACTAGGTGTCACTGCAAGCTGGTCCCACTTGTGCATTCTTCCTTCTGTGAGTACAGTTGTCTTGGAATCCTGCCTCCAGAGCAAAGCGTGGAGATACAATTCACGCTGAAGGCAGCACGGGTTCACAACTGTCATGGATGTCTTCTGATTTCACTTTTTCATCTCTCAGAGCACCCTGACTGTTCTCAGTGTCCCCCCGGAAAATATTCAGGGCATATGGCAAAAATACACTGAGCCCCAGCTGCATACACACACAGAAAAAAATATAAACATTTTTATAAACAACACATCAGTAGCTGGTGACACAAGCAAATTTAAATTTTTTAAAATATGCAGATTAAAAATTAGGAAAGCCACCATGAAAAGGGGTTCACCCAAAATCTCCCCAGTAACACAGGATCACATACCCCACACAAGACCAATGTCAAATTTCCAACAAAGAGAATTGGGCTTATCAGGTCTCCAGGATATTTCGATCAACTGTAGCATAACTAGCTAAGATTATTATGTTTATTTCACTTCTTTAATGGTGAAAAACTTAGAAACAAAGAAAAGTATAAGATGATTAAGTGAATTGTGGTTTCTAGAAGTTTATCAGAATGGAGTGCTATGCAGGCATTAAAAATGATCATTTGAAAACTCAGGAATGCAAGAAACTTTAAGGGAGCAAAGCTAACCATTTTTTTTAAATTAGAGATAACATGCTCTGCGCACCCTGCACTGAGGCAAGAGATGTCCGCAGACAGGCAAGGGATGGAGGCACAGGGTGAGGCTCCCAAGTACTTGCAGAGACATCACTGTGAAGATTTTATCTTATCAAACAGTTGCTTGGTGATGTTTCTTCCCATTAAAAACCAGCAGAAAACCCACACTTGTGCTTAGCTACATCTTAGGTTTTCACATACTTTAACACTGCCCGGAGAAAGTACACCGTGGATTGTGAGGCGTCTCCCACGTGAACCCCGGGAGTTCCCAGGCTTGGCAGTGAGAGCAGGAAATCCCAGAGGTGCGGCTGCTGATGGAGGGTTTCCAGCTCCGAAATCACTGCCTCCGTGTGGTTGAGATCCATCTGGAGATGGGAGAAAAGTACTGGAAGTCATCTTCTTTAGTTTTATTAACTGAGAGACAGAGACAGAGACAGAGATGGAGACAGAGGGATCCAGGTCATGTCTCTGCGTTGAACATTCACAATTTTAAAACCATCACGTTAGGGTTTCATTTGTTTACTTTTGAAAGTATGGACAATTTTTTATGTAAGTTTGAAATCAAGTGGAAAAATAAAAACTTAGAAAAACCTACAATCTAAAATTGTGCAGCACCTGCCTGGCAAGCATGAGGTCCTGAGTTTGATTCTAGCACACAAAAAAAGCAAGGAAGTAAACTGTTTATAAAGCGCTAACAGGAAAAGGAGTGGGGAGATGAGGAGAGGAGGAAAAGAAACAAAGTACAGGTAAAAACAAAGAGGGCTGGAGGACCAGGCAGGGGGAGGGGAGAGGAGGGGAAGCCGGAAGTGGGGAAGGAGGACTGCAGAGGCAGGGACCCTGGTCCTGGGGCCCAGGCCGATGCCCAGTGGGTGGAGGCTCCCAGGTTCGGGCTGACCTTGCTGCACAGGAGGAGCAGATATAAAAGCCAAAAGCCCAGCTGGGGGTGGGGCTGGGGGCTCAGGGCCCACCCTTGCCCACCTCACAGGGGAAGGATGAGATGCAGGAGGACACGGGGTGCGGAGTCCCAAGCACTACTCCCTGCTGGGCCCAGGGCCCCGACCCTCATCCCCCGCACACCCATGTCCCCCAGCGCCCCTCTCCAAGCTGGCTCCACAGCCACCTGCACAGTGCACCGCTGCAGCAGGAGTGGGGGAGAGGGGAGGGCCCCTTCACACTCCCCGCCCTGCTCCCCCACTGCTCCTCTCCCTGCTCCCTGCCTGACTCCCTCCCCAGGTGTCCTCCAAGGTCACCTTTGAGCTCCTGCAAATCCAAACTGCTCCTCTGGGTGCCAGCCAGGCCACTGGGTGCTCAGTCAACCTCAGGGTCACTTCCCCCTGTCCTGCCTGCCCCCCACAGAGACCAGCATGGTCCACACCCAATCTCAGGAAGCAGCTACCCCCAGTCATCCAGAGGCCCAGCCCCAAGTTGGGGCCCCCTCAAGTCCCCTCCACAGCCTACATCACATCTGCAGCCCCTCCCACAGTATGAGAGAGGTATGTGGTTAGGATGACCACAGGGACACAGAATGCCAGCGTTTTCAGAGATTCTGGTGTCAATTTTGCTGTGTAGGACATGCGTGACTCTATCAGGGGCTGCAGTGTGACAGGCAGCAGGTCCCATAATTTCCTTTAAACGTGGAACTTTAGTCTAAGTTTTTAAAGACTCTCCATTTGGTAATCCCACCCTTGGGACCTGGGGCACCCAAAATTTCAGGGACAGAATATGTGTCCATCCACACTGTGGTGACACTGCTTCTGGGGTCACTACCTTGGGACTTACAGGCAGGCCTCCCCCCCTCCACAGCTGCCTTTATTCTGCCTGTCCTTCTAGTGGTTTCATCACACGTCCTTCTGTCCTAAACTAAGTCCTGCTAGGGTCAGCGGGGCCATGCAGGTGTGTGGCTGCTGCCACAAAGTGCCCGTGATGTCAAAAAAGAGCCCTCAGGCCAGGGCTCAGCCCCGGCTCTGGCCCCCACTCCAGCACTGATGCGCCAGTTGGGTTCAGCTCTGATGAAGGTGCTGGCAGCAGACCAGATTCTGACCTCACAGCCAGCACTGCCCCCCCTACCCTACCTGTCCCCAACTGTGACAATCACAACACCATCCAGACCTGGGCACAAAGCCCTGGGGACAGCCAGGAGGGGAAAGCCATGCCCACAGATGACCAGCACTGTAACCTAAGGCTTCATGCTCAAGGGGATAAAAGGTTAAGAGTCAACATGCAAATTATTGACATGTGCGGATTCAGAGTGCCTTGGACCCATTCAAGGGCACCTACAGGCCTCAGTGAACGAACACCCGAGGCCACCAAAGGTACCAAAGTCTTCAGGGAATGTGGCTCTCAGACACACTTCCAAGATGATTATTATACTAAATCAAGTCACTTCAGCTGGGTGTGGTGGTCACACTTGGAATCCCAGCACTCCGGAGACTGAGACAGGAGGATCTCTCTGAGTGCAGGGCCAGCCTGGGCTGGATAATGAGTTCAAGGCCAGCCTGAACTATACAGCCAGACCCCATCTCAAAGAAACAAAAACATCAAAATTCAAATCATTTGAAAACATGAGCCAAACATAAATATAGTGCCTTATGTTATAACAGAGACTCAAACTTTTATTAGATACTTACCATTAAAAAACCAGAACTGTAAGAGGAGTCTGCAAAAAAGCAGATTTAAGAGATTAGTTTAATCACCGGCCCCAAAGTATGTGCTCTGGGACCAAGTTTTCAGGTGCAGTGAAGCCCAGGAGCCCCAAGACAAACACAGTCGCTGCGAGGAAGAAACCCAGAGCAAAGCCCTGTGCTGTCAGCTTCCAGAGCAGCAGGACACCACGTGACCTCCTGGAAGGAAGCTGAACTGGCCATGAGAATCCCAATGATGAGCACAACTCCACCCTGTGTGGTGAGGGTCAGAGAGAGGCCGAGGGAGTGAAAAACAAATGAGAAACAAAGAAGGAGAAAGGTGAAGGCAAAACAAGGTGAAAGTATGATTTTCAGATTGCTGTCTGGATTACACAGCCTATGAGGAAGACTCAGAGGACGGTCAGGTAAGAGCATGGTGAAGACTGCATCCCCCAAAACAGGGGACTTAGCTCGGTGGCACAAGTGCCTGCCTGGCAAGCTTGAGGTCCTGAGTTCCAGTGTCAATACCAAAGAAAAGAAAAGGAAAGAAAAAAAAATTAGTTCTTTAAAAGCACATTTTTTTAAAAAAAATCAGAAAAACAGATTTTATAGAACAAATTTTCAAAATAATCCCATAACCAGGCTTACTATAAGAACTCCATCATTTGGTATCAAAACTATTCTCGTGTGTGTGTGTGTGTGTGTGTGTGTGTGTGTGTGTGTGTGTGTGTTTCAAAAATTGGAGCTACTTACTTAGGGTCACCAGGTTGACCAAATAAAAAGAGTGAGTGCTCTGCTAAATTGGAAATTCAGATTTTTAAATAAATGAATAGCGTCTTTACAATTCACGTGGGCTATCTGGGAAACACAGATATTTAAAAGCTCCTTGTGATTTAGAACTCATGGTTAGCTGAATGGTATCAGGCAGTCAGTGACAAGGTCCTCTGGCCCTCACTTCACAGTGAGGAGAAGCCGGGCCCCCCACTCTCGGCCCTTCCCAAGTGCTGGGGCATCTGTCAGCGCCTCTCTCTAGGCTTCCCAACCTCCCAGTGTGGATTTAGAAGTCACAGCAGAGCAGGAGCCTCTTACAGGCCGGCGTTCTTCACAATGGGCAGAAGTCCAGTTTACTTAGAGAAGGACCCAACCCTAATAATCCCAGCAGCTCACACAAGCGCGGCCACTTCACCATCCAGGGCCAGAACTGGCGCTGGTGACACAGAATGCCAGGCCTGAGCCCACAGGAGGAGGCGGGGCCCCATGACATGTGTGTGCAGACCTCAAAAGTGGGGAGAGACAGGCACAGAGAAGTTGGTGCAAGGAGAGTGGGGAGAGAGGAGTCAGGGGAACGCACCGTGGAGTGGAGCTGGGAAGGAGACTGCCCTTCACAGCCCCCAAACCCCTATCAGGATTTGATGACTTCACCTGTGTTCCTTGTCCCCTGTGCTCCCCAGGGTGCCCCGCAGTGGGGTGGGCAGGCATGAGCCAGTCACTTACCTGGAGTCTGGGCGCTTTCTTCCCAGAGCTCCTGCAAGTGCTTCGCCTTGCCCACCGTCTCGTAAATGTCCTCAGCCAGGTCCTGCATCTGCGCTAAGAAGTCCAGGCTGTCCACCATCCTGTCAGCACCAGCAGTTTGGAACCTAGAAAAACCCCAAGCAAATGGGATCGCTCAGGGTCAGCTTCCTCCTACCCCACCTCAGGGTTCTTGGGACCCTAAAGCAAACTGCCTTCTGCTGCAAGGCCAGGACCTGACCCTCCTCCAAAGCAGGAATTATCCCTGGGGAAGGAAAGGCATGGGTTTAACCTGAAAATCACTCTCAGAGCTCCGCTTTGGTGAGTTTTCAGGCCTTTCTTTCTTTTTTTTTTTTTTTTTTTTTTTTTCTTTTTTTTCTTTTCAGTCTTTACCATAGGCACCAAAGTGCGCTGTCCGTGGTGCTGAATCTCTTCAGGAAGGCACAGCTGCTTCCTCTATGGGGGGACAGGGCTGGGGCGAGGGCTCCATGGGACGTCAGCAGCCAGGGAGCACCCAGCACCTCTGAGGGTGCCGCTGAGTACAGTTGTGCAGTCCCGGGCATCACAGGGACCGCGGGGGACCCAGGACTGGCACCCGGGTGCTCGACTGCCACTCGATAAAACCACGATTTTTGTCTCCCTCCAGAATCATCAGGGCCTTAGAAATCTTTCTTGCTAAGAACCATGAGTTCCCTTGGGCCAGTGAGGAACACAGCATGCAGCCCGAACTCCAGTCTTCGTCCTCTGCGTCTGTAAACCCAGGGTCCCATCGCACCTTTGCCCCACGTAGAGCTGTGTCAACCAGCAGGCAATGTCTACCTTGATCAGCCCTTAACGAACAGACTCCCTCCCCCTTTGATCCTGAGGATGCCGGGATAAGAGTTTCATGGGGACATCTAGCTGCCCCAGAGGCCGCCAGCCACTGTCCCAAACTAACAGTAACCTGTATTCCAGAAAGGGTGGAGCCCTGCTGACTGCGGTCCCAAAAGACAGAGATAACTCTTTCCTGGAAACAAAACCATCAGCCAGCGTTCCAAAGCCACCAGACCAGACATCACTGTCCACCAGCCAATCCCTGTCACTGGTCACCTACCTTGGAGGGCAGACCAGTCTGCACCCCAGTATCAACTGTGCCCCCTCAACTTCCTAAGTTGAATGCTTTTCCTGCCTTCCCTCTAACTTCCGGATTAAAGCATTTTTTTGTAAATTTGTGCTTTAGATTTCATTTCCATGTCTACTAAAACAAGAATTCACACTAGTCAGGGAACAGCTGCAGGGAATGTTCTGAAAGGGGATGCATATGCAAAGACCAATGGCAGAAAGAGGCTGACATAGCATGGGTGCAGGCAGTGGACATGGTTATCACTAGGCAGGACTCTGCTCAGCACAAAGAGAGTGAGTAGCTTGTATAACTCTCATCAAGGCTGAAGAGTGGGTTCAAATACAATAGAGCACTCTATCAACACTGCAAACCATCTGTCATAGAAGCTCGGAGAAGAAACATCTCACAATCACAGGAACAAGTGTAGAAAACACATCACTTGAAACAGAACAGTGATTTCTGGTGATATTTCCTTCAGTGAGGAAAGAGAAAACACTCTCACTTTGGTGGAGAACAAAAGCAAGACTGCGGTGGCAGAAAAAGCTCAAGTCTCCCTGAAAACATAAGAACAACAGGGGCAGTCCACCCCACACCCTTGCAGAGCTCTGTCTGACCCAGCTCTACCATTGACCCTGACTCTGATCCTGATGTAACCCTAACCCTAACCCTAACCCTAACCCTAACCCTAACCCTAACACTAGCCTAACCCTAACTCTAGGTCCGGGCAAATGCAGGGAGACACAGAAGATATGACAGATGAAAAGAGAAGGAAGAAAAGTACAGCTCTCTTTGCTCTCAGCAGACACAATTAAATATGTTTTAAATATAGTACATTTCATCACTTTATAGGAAATCCCTCTCCTGTTGATCTGCCTTTAATTGTATCATTTTGCAAAGTTACCCCTAAAAGATGAGAGTTGTAAAATGTTTAAAATGCATATATACAGCTGAGTTTGGTCCTGCATGCCTGTAATCCCAGCACTCAAGAGGCAGAGGCAGGAGGACTCTTGTGAGTTCAAGACCAGCCTGGGCTACAAAGGGAGCTCAAGACCAGCCTGAACTGCATAGTGAGACTCTGTCTCAAAAAGACAAGAATAAATAAATAAATAAATTAATTAATTAATTAAGTTAAACATAAAATGCATATAACTGAGAGTAATGGTGAGCAGAGAAAAATGCTAGAAGTGATATAAATCTCCGATTCTAGGAGAATGTGAGATGGACAAAAGCATGTTTTTGCAAGGATTTTCTTTCATCTTTAAAAATCAGTTCCTAGATGTGTGTTCCTGCAAGGGTGGTTTGAATGAGGCAGAGACCACTCAATTGTTAAAAACCCTCACCCTGGCTTCTTCCACCGATTCCTACTGGGTGGATTTTAGGGGGAGGGTTAGAAAGTGATCCAAACCCCATGCATTCTCACCCACACCACCTGCAACTCCAACACAGACCGACTGACATAAGTTGTGGGAAAGATAAACTACAAAAAAGACATGGCTGCACCTTTCTTAGGGCTGTGAATATCATGAAGGAAAAAAGTTTACCAGTGAAGAAGAGAAAATACTCTCATGACCTTGGCAATCACCACCGTGCACCTGCTTGCATCTAATCTCAAATTTACTTTTAATCACTCCTCAGTCTGGACCCCCACCACGGACCTGCCCTTGGGGACCCCTCACCTCCTGGACCTCGTACTGCTATCAATTTTTGCCTCCCACCCCTTCTCCCAGAACATTGGACTACAGTGGATTACCGAGCTGGCTGGGTGGGAGACGCAGAAACTGTCACCCAAACAGAAGGCCTCAGCAGGCTCCAGTCAGTTTGCCCGTAAAATAGAGGTCTGCAGTGGTTAAATAGGAGCAGTAATGAAGCTCCCTTCCACTGTAAGACTTTGGTGAACCTGGCAATAGTGTGGGTGACTCCCTCCTTCACACAGAGAACATCAGACAGGTAGAGGAGTGTACCAATAAGGCCTCCACCAACTTGGAGAAAACTAAAAGAGTTTATGAGACCTCCAGTGACACAGTAGGCCCTCAGCTAACACAAACACTATAGACAGAGATATCTGTGACTACAACAACTTGAAGACACAGCAACAGCAGGAACTAGGAGTTGACCTACATCGATACTCCTAGGCTAGTTAGCCCAGGAAGAATACAGGACTCACCCAGCAGGCCCTGTAGGAGGAGTTCATGTGACTGGCTCTCATCTTCATTCTGGTACACAGCAACTGGACAAACATCAGCCACACAATAGGACCCTAAGATTCACACTACTCAGAGTTGAGCCTATTGGGATTGAAAGACCAAATATTTGCTCAAAAGGAGAAAATGACAAAGCAAAAAGGCAAAATACAGTCTCAAAGATCTAGTCCTTCAGGAGCAAGTACAGGCAACATCAAAATAGAGAACTTTAAAAGTCATACACCAGGAATCTCCAAAAAGATAGTGAATGAAATAAAGAAACAAATTCATGAGGCTATAGAAGAAATAAATCAAAAACAGTTTCCTATGTAAAGACAGAAGTAACAACCTTAGTAAAGCAGTTAACATAGCCAGAGAAGAAGTAAAATAAATACAGGAACATGGCGAATTGATACTTTTAATCAGTAGAACCACTGATTATAAATAAAGTAGGGAATCATGTCATAAGTAAGCTTGGTAAAGTATCCTGGAGAGCTTGGGAAAGTATCCAAGTGTCCAGTTAAACTCAGAATATTCTGAAGGGATAAAAACACACCAACTTGAGAAGAAAATTTCCTGATTACCAGTTACAGGACCTTTTAGATTTTAATCTTGTCTTTATTTACAAATTAGAGAACTGTGATAATGAAGTAACAGCTGTCAAGATGTAAATCTACCATGAAGGAAAACCAAAGCTTGAGGACAAAGTCACAATAAAATCCCTCCCACAAGCACTGTGTTGATCTCACACAACCCTGAGTGATGTTTGAGCAATTGCAACATTTATCGATGAATAAAATAAACTCAGGGACTTTTCAATACAGCATCTTGGAGATGTAGAAGCAAGAGAGTCTGCTAAGTTTACTACAGCTTCTCTGCTGCAGCCTCACATAAACCGAGAGCAAAGTAAAAGGTAGAGAATAGGAAATAGGAGAAAGAACGTTTGCAAAAGGGAAGAAGACCAAAAGACAAAGGCAAGAAGAGGAGAGGAGAGGGGAGGAGGAGAGATGGGTTGTGTACATGCACCCACTCCCCACAATGAATGCAGTCACCATGTGCTATAAATACGGAATAATAAAAATTTTAAAGCTAAAAATGACCTCTGCGTACTGAGAATCTGAACCATGATCTGAACTCTTCTGCCTGCCCTAAATATGAGACTTCCCTGAGAAACTGCAGAATTATCAGATTATAGAGACAGGGGTAACTTGAGATTCTCCTGTAACAAAGACCTGGTGTTACGGTTTTACTTTATTTATTTATTTATTTTAATTTCAAAACGTGCCTCGATTTGCCCTTCAGACTGGATCATGAATTATTACTAACATGAGAAATGTTCACAGAAGAAAGAAAATACATAAAAACCCTCAATTAAGGGGTGAGGTGGGGGGATTCCTGCACACAAGGGAAACCCCAGTACAGCAAGGGAGAAGGGGAGAGCCGCTTCCCCTTCCTGAGTCTAGTTCTGTGTCTGGACTCCTTCCTATCCTGCAATTCTAGGCCTGCCACGGAGGAAAGATTTGCAAAGGGAAAGTCTTCTATGGGAGCCTTCAAATGCGGGGCAAGAACGGGCCACTTGACAGGGGTGACTGAATGTCTTTCTCCATCATCAATCCAGCACCAAGAGCCCAGCACCAGGGGCCAAGGTGTCACAGCTGGAGTCACCCACACAACACTGAGGAATCTGAGGGTGCAGATGAGGAGGAGCCTCAGACATCACTATTTAGGCTCCATTCGCAGATGGAACTGAGACCCAGCAAGAGTTCCCCAAGGTCCAAATTTATTGTGAGCAGCATCACTCTTGGAAAATTATCTTGAAAATGAGATCACAATACTGTGTGCCCAA